CAACAGATACTGGCTATTAAAAGCAAGCACTGCTGAGAAAGAAGATTTTTGTAGCATCCAGGTCAGCAGGATCTGTGTTTTTTTCAGATGTGACTTTTGAAACTCACACCTTATGCTGTGTAATGTGAAGAAAAGATACCAAAATCTAGCAAGGAAGTTGGAAAACTATCGTCTGAAAAACTTCAAAGTTGTTTTATGAGCAAACATGGGAACACTTTAGTAAAGTGTACGTGCTGAGAGTCATTGCACTCTGCTGTGTACATGTGCAGACAGATGCATGTACATGCCTCTTCTGCTTTTGCTGCCCTCAAAGACCCCCAACCACTGATTTGAGTATAGCTGTACTGAGGTGCAAACAAGATTTCAGCTTGAAGCTGAAAAGAGCAGACAAGCATTATATTTGGGAGCCCAGCCAGTTTTCCTGAACAGCTGCCCCTTAAGGAAGAAGAAGGGTTTCCAGCCTGAGCCTGGCTGTGCTGCTGAGTGGAGATCTCATGTCAAGTCCTCCTAGATTTCTGCCATCAAAGAATTAGCAGGGAACGTGAAATAGACATCCGTCTTATTAAGCTTCTTCAAAGTTGTCAATTCAGTACAGAATACTGAGTATATAAATGACTATAGTAGTACTTAGGTGAGACCATAAACCTCACTGTGCCCTTTTCTTGGGGAATTCAGGGGAGGAGGCAAGTAACCCTTTCACAGCCTAAATATGTACTTGTTCATGGCACTCAGTGTCCTGAAGGGCCTCAGCACCCTGGCACCTGTAGTTGACAGTTCAGAAATATGTACAAGGTAGGGAGAATGCCATGAGTGTTGCAAAACATGGCAAAGGAGCTCTACAACCTACCAAACAAGCACAGCAAACAAACAGCATCTAATGGATAACGTAGGGTACACAACAGCCAAGTTGCACAGTTATGTTTCCTTGCAAAATCAGGACTGTGAACATAAACTCTAGAAGTTGTTTCAGGAGCAGCACGTGGCTTACTCGACACCTCTGGAAACATCACAACTCCACTATCCCTCATGCACTGCATCTTCTGCTCTTACAGAAACTGATCTCACTGAACCAAGCAGAGCTAGTGGGTCCTGCAACCCATATGACTGTGGCAGAGGTTAAGCAAAAATGCTCCAGCAACATAGTTTGGCTACCACTGTATATTCATTCAGCCTTTATGGTGTCTGCGCTATATAAATGTTGCTCTTGGAAAATAAAGCACACAGTGATATACAAATGGTATCAAACGGCCAAAAAAGATTACATGATCAAGCCGGAAAGCAAATGGAAGTTAACAAAAGTAGTCTTTTAGGAGAGGTAGCCATATTAGACTCAGCATTCAAAAAAAAGGGAGTGCACTCAAAAGGGTCAACATACATTATAGTGTCTTGTAGACCCATCATGTTTCTGGTTTCCTACATAATTTTTTTGCAGAATGTACACACCCAGGCACACACAGGTGCACACACACACACACACACTCACACCCCCCCCCCCCCCCCCCCCCGCCATATATACACATCCAAATTCTTCTCTAATTCCCCTTTGTTGCCATAATGTTGCTATACTGAGAATAAAGGACAGCTTTTCTTACATGCTCTTAGCTGCCCCATGTCTATAACTTGCTTTCAGTTGGTTCAGTATCTGTACAGTAGCTAAACAGGCAGTGGAAATTAAAATTGCTTCAATTAATATTCTGTTGCAAAAGACAGCATCCAAACTATAAGGCATTCCTTTGTACTGACATGACCTACAACTCTCTACTTGATACAAATTACAGAATGCTCTTCAGCCTTGTGCTACAAAGGCAGCTTTCACCCAAATGATAAAGACCAAAGCTGGAATTTAAACACCACAAATCCACACACTTCTGCAAGTCTCTTGTTCTTGTGCCCCTTCCCAACAACGCTTATCACTTTAATTTCAAAAGTCATGCACCAATGCTATAAAATAGAAACCCAAACTACCAAGAAATCTCTTGCTCCTGACTTTGGGATACCGTATTAGTATAAAAGAGCTAAATAAATATATTCTTTTCTGAAATCACAGCACATTCAAAGGGTACTTACTGCCAAAAGCAGAGCATTAAGTAATCTCCATAGATGTTTTCAGAATAATTTAGTCAGAAAAGACCTGTAAGATATGAAGTTTTGATTGATTTGGTCTAATACCTGGAAAATAGCCTACTGTGGGGATAAGAATCTGCATCTCAAATGTTCTGCAGAACATATTTCCCATATTTGTATACAGTACTAGAACAATTAAGAAGATATTACAGTAATTTTCTCCCAGCTTCTTAGATCTGTAGCTTTGGCTATGACAATGCATTTTGTATGCCTCAGAACTATGAAATATCAAAGATGACTAAATAAATAAAAGCCAAGGAAAACTGGGACAGTACTGCATTTTACACTTGAGACAAGATTCCCCCCTCCCACGGATAAGTCATAGAGGACAACTACAGTAAATGCTTGTCTTTTTTTTTTTCAAAGAAAGATTTATACACAGGTTCAGATCCAGAAAATAATGTGAAATGCATAAATATTGATCGCTTTAGCTAAGTTAAAATGGGTTCAGTAAAGTATGATACAACATATTCAGAATAAACAAAGCAGAAAAGCATCATATTTTGGTTTGCTTGAGATATACATAAGGTGCAACAATTTCTTCTCTAGAGGCATTTGTGGACAACGTGTTAACAGGTAACAGTGTTTGCTGGTATACCGAAGTACACACAATAGCAGTAAGATTTTCCAAAATGAAAGCAGCTGAAATTAATAAAAATTAAAACAAAACAAACAAGGAAAAAAAACCCAACACCAATACAGTAAGATATTGGTCTGAAGTTTTTGTTGTGCTAACAGACTTTGTTACCTGAAAATACTGATACCCCTTCTAGTAGATTCAGGGAAAATTCTAGCTACTCAAATCAAGACATCACTCAGAGAACCAACAAAGGCAAATGCCTAGTGAACTATAAAGCTTTGCAGGATTTCTGCTACTCTCAGTGCCTAATCGCTTAAAAATTAAGCATATCTACAAAAAGGTTTGTAAGTATCTGAAAACAGTCATATCCAGTAAACTGACCCAACCCTACCCCCTCTCTAAGGGAAAGTCAAGGAAAAGCAGATCAAGTAAGATATTAATTAATATAGAAAAAAGTAATTTTCTGTTTCTTTTAAAAAAGGTACCATTAATATACAGAAATATCTCCAGGAACAATATTGAAATTTAAATCGAGGAAGGATGGGGTGCTTTGACAAAAATATATCTACTCTAAAGGTTTCTAGAGAAATAAGTTAGTACCATTGTCAACGTGAACGGCCTGCACTGTAACATATTTGGATTTCAGCTAATTATAAAGTGGTCCAAAACTCCAAAAGCCACCCTGCTGTGACCCACAAGTTTTAAGTCTTTTAAATTTTTCCCGTCTTGTTAAAATAACTTATAAAACTTTAATAAAATCTTATTTAAAATACCACCATAAGCTGCAATGGCATTCTAGGGGCTCCTAGACATTTAGTCACCTGAATTTTTAAAAAAGCCTTTTCACTGACTCATTGGTTTGTAAATTTTGTTGTTCTTCTGTTCCCTGTGTTCATCACATGCATCCTTGATGTTGCTGTTTCAGTGACACTTCCCTACGTGTCTTTTGTCAGACCTTGAATCCTTTCTTAAAACTCTTGTGGTACACTGTATATTGTTTCCTGACACTGAACCAGAGACTTTCACTTAACTACAACAATGAAAGGCTAAACCTAGCAAGCATTAATAGTTACTGTCCATATGGCTATTACATCAAATTAGTTACAAAATAACCTCAAAACACATTATCAATTCAGTCAAGTATAAATAAGAATGCCTGATAGAATGATGTAAACTTGCATCATTTAAAGACTTAATTCAAAGAACTTCAAACTCAATCTAATACTATCAAAAGTTCAGCCAGTATGACGAAGACTAATAGAAAATTATTGCTGGAGTCCAATTTGGTAAATTGTTGTGCTACAATGCAAAAAGTAGGGAAACATCTTGTGCTATAGAAGAAGTACCCTGTTGAATTTGTAGCTTTAGATCAATTACTAGTGATCATTTTGCATCTATTGGTAGGAATCAATGGGTTATACAATAGTGTAAGTCAGAATAGTGAAGGTAACAGGCCAAGTGATACACTTGGCCTGCTTTTGGGATGTATTTATGATAGCAAAACACAAAAATTCAACACAAGCAGAGACAGAAACTGGCAGATGGATCTGTTTGGTAGTCTGAATTCAGTCAATAGCTACTCTTCAGTTGTAGTTTAACTGTATACAGCTTTCCACTTTACCAACACAAACTGCAATTGTCCCTTTATGCAAACTGTGAAGCTGATTTGGACTGTGCATAGTAACTACAACAATGCCAGTGTCTGTAAAATGTAAAAGGTATGTGTATTGGTGTACACTATATTGAAAAGTCATGGTTTTGAGTTATTCAGAACTGTGAAATAATACTAAGGTCACTTTTGAAAAACGCATTTGCAGTACTTTTTGTTTACAGGAAAGTTTCACCAAGTCGCTCAGATATCTCTGCAAAAATAAAGGAACCCTCCAAGGCATGAAAGACAAGTCAATTATCTGCAGTATTTTCTTTTCCATACACCACACCTTTTTCTAATGCACATCATCCTGGTTATTCAAAGCTAAATTAAAAAGAAACAAACCCAAACGTAGCCTGTCAGAACTTTTCCCAGTAAACTCTACCACTCTGGTGGCAAATATAAAAGTGCAGAACATCTGGACCACGTGGCTGCCCAAACACCGCTAACAATGGTACATCTGTCCAGGCTGCCTTGAGTTCTCTGGAACAGGTTTTAAATTCATTCTACAATATAAACGTAGGCATAACCTATTAATATAAACCATCTTAGAACTTAAATCTTCATGTACAAAAATGACTAAGAATATCTAATAGTAACTAGTGCAGTGCGTCAGTGTTTTTGTTGTTTTTTTTTTTCTTTTTCATTTAGAATAACTAGATATTATATGAAACTAGTCGTACTCTCTGGTTGGTAAAAGAGATGCTGTGTGAGCTAACAGTAAAGGCAGCCTTTTTCACACCAACCACCTGTTTACTGTTTAAAAGCCTTCAATAGAAAGCAAGCTCTGGGATCATTCCATTCATTCCACTCCATTTCAGTTCATTAATAGACAATATCACCCTCCTACACACTGGGTTCCAATTTGAGGACCTGGCCCAAGTTGCTAACGTCTGGCTTCCAGTGAATTCTGGGCCACTCAGAGCAATAAGCACTTTATTGCAGTCTCTAGTTCCACCATATGGACTGACTAGCTTCCCTTGGTAAAGACAAGGCTAGGATATTAGGTAAAGCACAATGTTTTACAATAAAGTGGAGCTTCACTGGTCAGCGCAGGAAATAAGCACTGGAGCCTGAGACATTTCATTTGGCTGTCCATCATGTGGGAGAGGTGTGGCCCTCTGACTTCTGGAAAAGAAGAAAAGAAAAGTCACCCATCAATACTTGGAGCACAGGAGGTGCTGTTATCAGACCTGAAAGGACAGGAAGCTGCTGTTTTAGGGTTTAGCACTTGACACAGACATGGCAGCACAGTAACTCCTCACTGCTGCAGGTGCTCACATACTCTGGTTACACCTGCTTTAAGATGAGCCCCTGCAACAGTAACACAATATCCTGAGGACAACCTACATCACATTGCAAAGGCAGGAAAAAACAGATGTGATGGTATTTGACTACACAAAGCAAAATCCACAGCATAGGAGTAAGTTAAGGGCACACAAGTGCTGTGACTCATTTTGTAAGGGAGCTGCTGCAGCCCTCAGAAGCAGAGCATATAGCATGTGTGGCAAGAGATAAATGCACAGAGGCACAGATCAGGTTAGTGTGAGTCAACAGACAGCTTTTAAGCAATATGAAAATATACTCATCAGCAGAGTTGTACTGGGATTCCTCCACATTACCTGACTACATAAGCCTAGCACATCTCTTTCATTACTACAGCAGTGCTAATTTAAAAATGATCTCTTGGCACAGGGTATCATAAAAATAAACTGTGCCAGAATTATGAGCTGGAAATCAACATCAGTCATGGTACAAAATGGACTTCGGAGAACTCCTTTGCAGCTTGCCTTTTAAAATACATACACTGCCTGTTATCTACTCTCACAGATGAGGTTCTATTTTTGTTACAGTATTTGTCATTGGTAGCAATGAAAATCTGGGGCCTGCTTCTTATTTACACCAGGGACACTTTACCTCACTCTGGCCCAGTTAAGACGCCCAGCAGAAACCCCCAGCAGAGGTACCCACGTGCTTCACACAAGGGGAGTGCAATGAAGTGGCCTTGGCACAAAATGCAGCTCAGACTCACAGTGCTTAACCAGGAAATGCACAAGGTAAATAAAGACAAGCAGAAGACTTCCAATCAAAACCATGCTGCCAGAAGGACTCCACGTCCCAAGGCTCTATGAAGCTATTAAAAAGCATTACATTCAGACACTGAAGAAACACATCAAGCAAACCTCCAATTCTTTTCTTCACATTTCTGGATATTTGCAAATAAAGTGAGTTACAAAAGGTAACAACAGTTGACACAGTAGAAAACAGAGGCATCTAGCCTGTAAGATTTAGGCTTCTGTTTTGACTTCCATTTGCCAAGTCAGTGAGAGATGTGGCTAACTTTCTACTGGAAGAGTCCTCCCCTGTTGTCATTTCACATCCCTCAGGGTGATTACAAACTGGCATTTCCAACAGCTGTGGGATATTTGCCCATTTCGTGTTTTCAGGCTTTATGAAAGATGCTGCCTTGCCTGAGCTACATAATGAGATGACAAAATATGGGATTCAAAGAGAAAGACCCAAGCACAAAGCTCTGCAAAACATTAGCTTGCTTCAACAAGGACAAGAGAAGGACAAGAACTTTAAAGAGGCACAAGGAAGAAAAACCACAGCAGAGCAAATCCTGTTGCTTTTGTGTTTTTCTGGTCAGTGTTAATGGCAGTCAATGAAACCACAGTGGTGTGAGTGAGAGCAGAGCTTAGCACAGCACTTCCACAAGTCCCATTTTGTGGTTTATGATGACAGACAGCCTGACTGCAGTGTGAAATCACTTCTCACCCAAAACAACACTGCTTGAGCAAGACAACAGCTTCTGCAGAGAGGAACTAGCAGATATGTTTCTTTTAGGGTTCCTGAGCTTCTAAAAAGCTTTTGAGCATTTGATGTGCAGCCTGAACACAAAGCACTGGGTTCATCAATGGGGCCCATGAGAGGAACAGTTAATTGACGTTGTGAATTGTTTAATGAACTGCTGCCTTGAGGAGTTGCTTAGGCAGCCAGCAATTTGTCAACTGGCATCTGCAGAGGCTGTGATGGTTTCAAACTGGCCCAGTGCTCCCTCATCAAGCTTTCACTGCAGGATAGGATGGGGTTTCATATTCAGTAAGTTCCATGAAAGAACAACACTGGATAACCAAGAGCCAAGAAGGATCTGCTGTAATTGGTTTACTCCCATCACAGGTCTGACCATTCTGTACTGATTCATAAGTAACTTGCACATTCTCCACCTTATGGATGGCCTACTCAATAACTGAGAGGACCAACCCAAACTAAACCCATGGCTTTCCATCAGCCAGAGTTGTTCTGCCCCATGCTATTCTGCAGATGCTTTGTCTTCTACACAGCAAAAGCACAAGAGTAAGAATAACTAGTTAGCTTCCCTCAGCCATGTTCAGCATAAAAAAATTGAGAAATTTCAAAATGTATTAAATTCTCTCCACCATCTTAGGTTTTAGGCCACTGGAAAATGCAAATCAGCATGCAGTAGCTATTTAAATCTCCTATTATCTGACACATAGCATCTGATCATTCTCAGTCATTAGGATCTCAAGGGTCATATGAACCTGTTTACATACAAAAATTGGTACGTAAGCTTACTGGGGAGGATCATTTTACTAACTGCTAAACAGATTACACTGCCATTTAGGTGAAGACAGCACTACTAAGCAAGTGGGGTAAAGCAGACATTCATAGAAAGCTGTGGAAGGGAAATGCAGGCCAAATTAAACAGTCTGCTATTCACATGCTTTCTGAACAAGCTGTCAGCCACATGCTATTTACTTAAGACAACAAGAAGAGAAGAAAACCATACCTGTGTACATTTTCCATGGCTGCTACTTCTGCCAGAGCAGCTAAGCTAAAAAATGCAGACACTGCTGGCATATCTGACGTAATACTATGATTTTCTTCTGTCTCTGTGTTTCTGGAGCATTCACTGTTGCAATCCGTTTCTGCACTTGATGATTTTTGAAGAGTACTTTGTGGCAGCTCTTTTGGCTTCTCCTCTGCAAAGAAAGAAAGTTAAGCATGCAGACGTAGTCCATAAATTCACTGCAGCCTACTGATATGCTGATTAGTCTGGTGTTAACAGAACCTGTACCTTCAGGACTTTGATTCTGCCAGTGTCATCTGATTCATGCTGTGACCTCTTCTGACTCTGACTACTGGGTCAGAAGCACAGTACTAAGGTCTATGAAGCAGTTTACTGATTTTGCATTCAATTTTGCATGAATTTGATTTTTTTGGTCAGGCAAGAGAGCTTTTGTGTATGTTTTAGACACAGCAGTCCTGAAAGATTATCTTACTGGAGAACAAGGACTCTGGCATTAACTGTCATACTGTGAAATGCAGCTTTACAGCCTATAACCAGGTGCAGTGCAATTTCTTTGCTGGACTGGAAACAAATTGTGAAAGGTAACCATTCTCCATTTCTCTCTGCATGAGTTCACAGTTCTTAGAGTGAAATACCCAGGGAGAAAAGACAAATTTTGTCATTCAAACAAAAGAAGTTGGCCATTACTGACTCAGTGATTTCCCAGTTGGTTGATAGCCGTATTTTAAATAATGACCGTTCTAAGCAGATAAGAAAACAAGATAATTAAAAAACACCGCCCTGACAGGCTGCTTGTACCTTCAAACCTTCTCCAACCATTCAGTTTTAATGAAATTTTAACTCCAATTTCCTTACCCAGTGTCCCTGCTGCTGGTGACACTCGCCCATCTGCTGTTCGGACAAGATGTGTGATCTTAGTTTTCCTTGCTTTCCTTTTCTGGCTGCCAACTAAAGGCTCATGCATCATTGCTGGCTCTGGAGTGTTTAGGGCAGATATAGAAATTTTATTCTTCCAGGCAGCCTCACTGGAATTTCTGTCTTCTAATAGTATGGCTGTAAGAGAACAAAACCACAACTTTAGATGTAGAATAATTTAGCCACTAGCTATGCTCATTTTGCATCTGTCTGCATAAAACTGTTCCTCACAGGTACTCAAGAGCATAACCCATGCCAAAACATGATCTGAATGCCACAGATGTTTGCAGTGAAGTAACAGAATCCACCTTAAAGATATACTGAAGGTTCAAGTTTGTAATGTTTGCCAAGAAAACTCTGAGACTGGCAGCAGCACTTGAGTGGGAGCAGGGTATTGCGCTGTGTAAAACATTCTGCAACAGAAGATGTCAACAAGTGGCTAAGAGACAAAATGTATTTAAGGAACAACAAGGGCCCTCACATAAGCTTATCTTAGCTCAGAGACAGACTGACAAGCAGAATTCAGCAATTCCTGACTAAAACCTCTTTAGTCACTCTACATCAACTCCTTTAAGAAAAGGAAATACTACCTTTTACAAAATAACAAACCTTAAAAAACACCCCAAAGGCTACAAATAAAAGAGCATAACTGGATAACAGCTGAAGACAAGCATGCTAAAAAAATGGAAGTAAGCATGGGATAGAATACCATGACAGAAATACTGCCCATATAAATTCAGAGAATGAGAAAGGAACAGTTTAAATCTTTTCAGCAGCTCCATTCTTGACATTCTGAAGCAGCCTTTTACCCCGACATGGAACATGATCCCAAATTTTCACTTGACTAAAGAATTTATTTTAATCTTGTTCACAAAGAAATTGATCAGACAGCAATCACAAAACATATTTAAGCTTCCAAAGTCTGTGCTCAGTGCCTAGTAGTCAACTGTTTGCAATTTGCATTGATTCAATAAGCCATTCTGCTGATCCCATGGGGTATCACTAGTACATAGAGGCAATCTGTGACATCTTTTTCCCTCCTGTGATAAGGTGTTATGAAGCCTGCCCCATCTGTGACCACTGTTAGAGGGTTAGAAGGAGGCTCTATGTTGAGGTTTGTATGGGGGGGGCTCCCCAGAGGAGCCTCCAAAGCTGTGAGTTTGCTGGTAGCAACAGGCAGGCAAAGAGACTCCACATGGCTTCTGAGGGTGCCGATTAGATGAGGGTTTATTGGAGGTCCCACCCTCAGGAACAGCATGTTTAATGAGGGAGAAGGGGGGAAGGGGCAGAGGGAGAGCTTAGGGGAGAGAAGGGCCAAGAGAGAATCTGGTCTCCCTCGCACAGCTTAAGAGGGAAATTCAAAGTGGGTAACAAATAAGACTTGGGCCAATGGGATTACAGATACATGATGGTTCAGGGCAGGAACACAGGCTTGGACTAAACTGTTCGTTTTGGAGGGGTGAGACAGCGCATATCATTTAACTAAAATGCAACACCACAGCTACAGGTAGCAAATAGAATGCTCAAGTAATTTTTTTACAGGTGCTCTAACCTGTTTTGAAATAACTGGGAACATTCATGATACCTGCACCAAGTTCTTGAGGTATTTTTTCCCAGTACATTGCCATCCTGAATGATTACGTATTTCTTCCTGCAACCTCATCCCTCCTGCTGCATTTTCAACTCGTTATTTTCTTTACTCCCTGTCAGGTTATATCCCATCTCTTTTCAACAGTCCTTGATATATTTTCCACAGCTGTTATTGTGTCTACAGTTAGCTCACTCTTCCCTCCAGTTTCTTTTAATCTTTCTCTGCATTATAAAGACTTTTTAAAGACACATTTGTCACTTTTTGGGTGGTTTGACCAGCAAAAATTACACACACAGAACTGAAGCCACAGTGCAAATAACTGCTCTTTAAGAATTGTTAAGAACTGAACAATTCCAATCTCCTGCACTGAGACTGGTGGTGTCACACAGGAGCATCCAGCCCCACAAACAGCCTAAGAGTCTGCATGGCCTTTGCCTTTCCCATTAGTGTGTATTTCTGTTTATTGTTAGTTTTGTAGATTTAATGAACTTTATATATTCAAAGATACAGCTAATACCACCTTTATATTTTGCTGGCTTTTTAAACTGTTCATTGTGTGAGGATATGGACTAGATGAAGAGAATAACTGCAACACATTTAATCTTGTTAGCAGTTTCCCTTTGCTCTTCTGTTTGAACGGGAAGGACCTTTAATGTTTTATTGTAAAAATATAATCAGATCTAGTACATACATGCACAAACATTTGAAACATTCCAAACTTTAATTTGTTTATGATTTTAATTCACCTACATTCTCTTGTAAAACATTTTTGAACTTGCGCATGTTCTTTATTTGGGAAAAAAGCACACAGCTTCAATTAGTATTTTGAAGTGCTTAGCTCTAGCTGCCAACCTCTCCAGAGCACAGCTTTGCCGTAAAAACTGGTTTTTTTTGTAAAGAGTGCTCAAGAGAAAGCACAGGAAAAGATCCACCCTGTAAGAATCCAATTAAGTAAAAGCAACAATGTCTGCAAATGTGACTTTCAAGTAACTCAACTGGGCCAACAGTGAGATATTCAGATAAGCTTTGTGCATGAAGACCAGGATCTTAATTGGAATGTATAATTAAATAGGCAGCTTTCTCTCCAGATTTCTTATTTGGGAATTCATAAGCATTGATTATGTTTTAATGCAATGGTCTGGTTGTAGTCCAACACTATCTGTTAATTCTGATTGCTCTAATTAGCACTTTGACACTGCTGTCTACTTCTAGCTTGATTGAGTTTATAATGCTTTTAATCTTAGTACTACAACTAACTTTTTTTTTTTTTACATTTAATAAAAAAATTAAGACATGATTTCAAACAATGAACAACATACAATTAAAAGAGACTTGATTTGGTATGCGTTTAATTAGATGTGTTGTATGTCAGGTCACTAGAAATTAACTTGATTGATCACTACAGCTGAGGTATCCCTTTTATATTTTTCTTTCTCATATTGTATGTGTCAAAAAATAAAGAGGAAAAAAAACCCTTGAAAGGTAAAATAGGCAATAGTGGAAGACACAAGGAGTATATGATGTTGGCACATTTGACTAAGAAACAGCAGAAGGTGGCTGTAAAAGCTCAGATGCAGTAATATTACTCCCTCTCCATGTTTTTATATTGTTTTATATTCCTTCTCCCAAGTTTTTATTTTAATCCTTGAAATAAGACTTGAAAGTCAGGTACTTTTCTCCTCTAGCTCTAAAAGAAGCTCTTTATCACTTCAACATAACATTGCTGCCATACAGTCTTGAAGAAGGAAGCATTGAAGGTTTACAATGAGTATTTTGTGTGTGTGGGTGCAGGGTGAATGTTGAAGGGAGGAGCATCTTTTTCTCTTCTTTAGCAGTCTTAGTGGACACTGGGTTTAGACATCATTTCACTGACTTCTTCACAGAGTATTATTCAAGTAGACATAAAACTTGACTTGGAAATCACACTAAGGCTTGACTTGCAAGACCCTTTGTGCTGATCTCTAGAGGAGAAAGGAGTCCATGTTTCAACAACTCCACATCTAAACTTATGTGCTCCTGCACCTTCTTCAAGAGGAATAGCATCCCACTGCTTCAAGTGACAAAGGTATATCCATACAGATGCTCCAAACCAGGACCTGGTTTTGTTCTACAGGAAGGATAGGGCTAGGCAGGTTTAATTCCCTGTAGTTTTCTTTAATCCATTTGATATCCATTCTGTTTCCACACTGTCCTGCATTCAAGAGTTGTCCCAAGAGGAACTCAGCTAATTTTCAGGGGAACATTGTTTAGACACGAAATGAGATTCTGCAGTTATTTTGCAGTCCTGCCAACAGGCAGTTGCATGCTCAGCTCTCCATGACAGGGGCAGAACTACTGGGCTATCTTTGCAAGCAGAGTTGAGAATATACCATGAAGGTGTGAGCCCTCAGGCATGCCTACACCACAGTGTCAGAAATGACTCTGAGAGAGACATATCCAGAGGTCTGTGTCAGATGGTTTCCTCAGCTAAGGTTTGTTAAAGGTCTGCACGGACAGTTTATCTACTCTGCAGCCATGCAGAGGACACATAGTCTTATTTCCCCCCTATCTTTGTAAACAAGAAAAACAAAGTCAATTGAAACGACTCGCCATACCACAGCTTTTCAGATGAGCTTTTCAGACCAAACTCCAACAAAACAGAGACTTTAAAGAATTTCTTTAGTGATGCCTGTTATGAGAGACAGCTACAGAAGCTCTCTAACCACACTTGGTGGAGAACAAATGCTTTGTGGGTCTAAGCATGCTGGTATCAAGGAAGAAAGGTGGGCTGTAATGATTTAATTGTCTTTATGAAGATAAACAGTGAAAATCTAGCCAGACAGAGCATCACTTCAAGTCATCAGTGTCCATGGAACCACTTCACCAAGGAAGTGATGCCAAACAGACTCACCTGGCAGAAATTCCAGCTCTTCTGACAACAGGACACTGCTACAATACTGCTTTGGGGCCAGGCAGCACACAGAGATGCAGCAAGGACTGGGGACTAACAAGCAGAGATACAAAGCAGCAGATGGTCAAAGCAGCTGTAGGAGACAGCCGCCTGGGCGGGAAGCTCTGCTGCAGGAGCCTGTCCCGATCCAGCCCTCCTCCAACCAGAATGGCTGCCAAAGGCACAGAGCTACTGGTTCCCTCCGGGCTGAAAGTGCCACAAAACAGGGCTCTGATGTATGTGGGAGAGCTGCTGTAGGAGCAGGCACAGCAACAGGGCTGCTCCACGTGTGAGCTGGTGCTGAGACCAGCGCATGTGCTCATCCTCTCTTCTCCCCTTCCTGTGCCAAGGCCAGTGTTACAGCTGGCTGCTGCACAGACCATACAAGAACCTCAGCACAGCTCACCAAGTGTACCTGAAAATATGCAATCACTCTGATTTATCACTTTAAGTACTGCTTCCCATTGGAAAGCCCTTCTGGTGTGGCAGAAAAATAAAACTCCCAGATGAGTGTTAAATTTCCCAAACAGGCATGGGTCCAGTTTTTCTTCTGTCAGCCTTCCTAAGGAAGGGATGTATTCCTTGACATATTCAATCGTGTTACTGTGTGCTCTCTGTAGCATTTCACTGGGGTTTAACTGGGCTGTACCCAACTCTTTGAACAGCTGCAAACTCTTAACGTGGTGATGTGCACTGGTGCTGCTGTGTACAGCAGGGTCAAAATTCACTCAGATTTTCATACCAGAGACACACGGACAACACGACACAATCACATTAAATCTGCCTCTACTGCACTTACTTTCCTTACTTACTCCTAACAGATGCACACAGGCACACACACATTTCAACATGAAAAAACATGAAGCCAACGTGACCTCTCCTGATAGCAATCCTTCCAAGTGTCTCCTCTGCAGCTATACAAACATTCAAGCTCCTTCTTTCTGCAGAATTAACTTTATAAAAACCAAAATCACACATTAGGTAGACTTGTGACTCACCACAAGTATAAACTAACCACAAAAAGGAGTAGAAATTTTAATTTATTGTTTGATTCACGGAATGCTCAAATAAATATTATCTGAACTGAAATGAAGATTCTGGGATTCCCATCTTGAATGCTGCAGAATATGAGACAGCTCAGCCACACGGGCCACACGCTTTAGGGCTTGTTGCCTAGGAACTCCTGGATGGAGGATGAAGATCTGTAGGCAGATGAGGGAGAGGCTCTCCAGCATGTGCTGAGGCCATGCCCATACTGCTCTTTGCTGATCAAGATTTTGGTTTCAGTAGCTAATGGTACACTTCAGAGTAGGCAAGACTCCAAATTTTCTCCCCTCTGTAATTCAAGGGAAAATACAGTTCCCCACCAATATACAGACATTCATTGCCTTTCCTCTGATGATTGTATGTGGGCTCCAAGTTCATGTCTTTGCTTTAGTCTTGGGAGGAACTTAGCAAGCTGGCTCTGCCCCAGAAAATGCACAGACACATCTTTAATGTTTAGACACTATGACATTATTCACATGCTTAACTTCCAAGGACATGCCTCTGTGCTCTGCTGGAACAAGGCCAGGGTACTCAACACTTGCCAGGGTTGAATCTTTGATCATAGTGCACACTTCACTTCGTATCAAAACAGGCTGGCTTCTTTTAAACAAATGCAGGGTTTGATATTTTGTTTACCCACATTTTTATCTGCAAATTTTAAGGTATTTGTATTTTTTACTCTTTATCATCTATTAAATACTTTCTGTTTCTTTTCCCCCAGGAGAATTTAAACACCCATTTGTCTTAATAATTTGTCTACACGGTCTATTAATAATTCAGGAACAAAATCTGAATGACGCCAAATAAAAATTATGCTAATGTATGATGCCTTTTTTACACCGACATAGAAGCAAGATAGTTACTTTTCATAAGCAACTGCCACAACATATTCGTTGTACAAATACAACAAGACAGAGCAAGTAATTTTGATTTGCACCGTGGAATGCAGAAGAGCAGGCAGAGCCTATGTGGGAAAATAGTTTATGTGCAAAACAGATGACAGAAAACACAGCACCAGGAAAGGACAGGAAATTACATGGCCAAGTCTTAAGAAAAGTTATTAACCATAAAGGTAGCTGGGGAAACTAGAGATGGGAACAACCATTTTATTATCTTAGAGATGAACATGGGTAGGGAAGAAACCAGACAAATTAATGAAGTTAAGTAAGCAGAACCAGAGAGGTTTTTCTAGATTACAGGAACAATGCAGGAGAGAACATCACTGTGGAACAGGGGAACAGCTTGGGCATAACTTGATAGTGTGGGCAACATGATGATAAAAAAAAAGGGCCCAGGGAAGCAGGCTAAACTATAATCCTATTTTGAGTTTCTAGTGTGCAGGATATTATGATACTGTAACAAGAAAAAGACTTTAGAGAGCTAACAGAGGATAGCGGGCAGACAAGGTCCAGAACATAACTTAAAAAAGTGCAGAAGGCATTTTCAGTATGAAACAAACAGAAAGCTGGTTTAAGATTTCTACAGAGGCAGGGTTGGATGCTGGTATTTCTGAGATCTGGTGCAGAAACAAGTGCTTACATCCTGACCAGGTTCTTACACCTTGACCAGCTGCAGTCTGCAAAGTTCCAGACAGCAAGAAATCACAGGAATAAGAGATAGGGACATGCAAAAATTCTCTGGCAAAATAATATGGTCACTGATACAGAAGAATGCAGATAAGAGCAACCTAAGGACTACAGAGCTGTGAGCTGTAGAAGATTAAAGTTTTCGGGGCCAACTGCAGAACTGCCCTTGCTTTGTCAGCTCTGCTGCATGGCACCTGGAGCAGGGAAACTGTAATTAAAGGGAGATGCCAACTGAAAACAAAACAGCATCATACTGGAGTAAGGAATATCAACTGGAGCCAGAAGGCAATGGAATCACAGCAGACAGGGAAAACAAGGAACCAAAGCAATCAAAGACTAGAGAGCTGAGGTGTCTCTGTCTAGAAGCATTTCCCCAAGACTGAATTGAGAAAGAAGGAAGCTGAAAACCTTAATTAAGCAATGCACCAGTACCTGTGTCCGGAACATTAAGCTTCTTTCTGTGCTTAAATTTGCTGACAATTTTGTGGAATAAGTTCTTTTTCTGAGACTGGAATGAACCTACAGACAACATTAATAATACATACTTTTAATTAGAAGCTTGAAAAAGAGTACAACAGTCACACTATGTACTGTACAACCTCCCCTTCCTATAGTACAAGTTGCCATATGACAGGGAAGCATAAAACCTGATCTTCTGTCTGAAGGGACTCCGGAGGCTTTCAGCAAGCTGCAGTTCAATCCACTACCTCCCAATGTTTAAGTGCATACAGTGCATTTTGGGGAATGAAGCCCTTAGGAAAGCCTAGCCATACAACAAAATGGGTTTTTTTTCTTGCTTACTTAAAGATATACTCCCTTTTGCAGAAGCCCTTAGGAAAGCCTAGCCATACAACAAAATGGGTTTTTCTCTTCCTTACTTAAACATATACTCTCTTTTGCATGTATACTGGGCTTGGCTGGCAGGGAGTAAACTTAACAGTGCTGGAAACACACCCATGGTTTAGTTACTGCTGAGCAGTGTTTACAGAGCATCAAGATCTCTCTCATTCTGGCACCCCAGCAAGTAGGCTGAGGGTGTTCAAGAGGCTGGGAGGGGACATAGTTGGGACAGCTGACCCACATGGGCCAAGAGGCATTTTACACCATGCTCAGCACAAAACTGTGCTGGGGAAGTGTTTTTTGAAGTTGTCTATTGCTCAGGTAACTGACTGGACATCAGTCAGCTAGTAGTGAGTGCTGGCTTTGGCATTACTTGTTTCCTCCCTCCAACTTATGAAACTGCCTTCTTCTTGACCCAATGTAATAGTTTTGCAAAACTACTACACCCACTAAGTATTTTTCCTTGTTTTTGCCCCTCCTATTATCTTCCACATCCCACTGTTGGAGGGAGCAACACGGTGGTAACATACTTACCAGTCAGGACCAACCCACCACAGGATGAAAGAGCTACCACTACCTTTCTGGTGACCAGAAATGAGATATACTAAGTGCAAAAGTTAAAGCCCCCATAGGAGGAAGGTGAGGTATGTCCAGCTCATGGTTATCATTCCTACTTTGCCCGCAGAGTCGTTACTAGGAGCAGTTGGAAGACATCTTGTGTGACATTGGACCACAAAACATGCCACTATCAGATGTCATCAAGAAGTTTGCCTTTGCTTCATTAGGGGAGCAGACAGTGATATAACAGCAACATAGGCATAAGAGATGCATAATCTCCACAATGCAAAGCACATTTTAGGGAGTTTACAGAAACTCAACTTCAAAATCTTATTTCCAAAGAGACAGTGGACAAGTAAGTCTTCAGGCTAGTTCAGAACAGACCAGCCCAAACAGAAATGAGATGCTATACACGTGACAAGATGATTCATAGCCTAACAAGCTGGTGTCCTTCCCATCTCTAGCTCACGTGTAACAGGATTCTACCCACCACAAATACTCGCCTTTTCCACTCCTCATCCTTAAAAGGAACCAGACACACACACTGACTACTGGGACACAACTGCAACCATGTAGGAATGTGCAATCAGGGTAAATCTATTTATACATCTGCAATTTGCCATCTCAGACTCCATATGCAAGGAAAAAAAAGAGTAAAGTGTGTAGCACACAGAAGAAGTATTTAGTCTTATGAAGTGAAAGCCATTCACAGACACTAGGCTGTCTGATCAATACTGAAAATTACTGAGAGAAAACTATAATCCAGACAGAGGCAGGCATAGAAGCTTTAACATCTTGCCCACGTCGGCTTCGTGGCTCACTGCTACTTCTTTTTTTAATATGGAAGAAATCATAACTTTGGAGAAAGATTAATAAACTGTCTTATGAAGTGAAAGCCATTCACAGACACTAGGCTGTCTGATCAATACTGAAAATTACTGAGAGAAAACTATAATCCAGACAGAGGCAGGCATAGAAGATTTAGCATCTTGCCCATGTTGGCTTTGTGGCTCACTGCTACTTCTTTTTTAACATGGAAGAAATCAAAATTTTGGAGAAAGATTAATAAACTCCCAAAAATCTAGAAGTCAAACAACAAACCAAGTAAAGTCCAAGCAAGAGATCATCTCAGGCAACATCAGCTTGAATCTGAACAGCTTTACTAGAACCTGTATAGGAAACACCTCAAAGTACAGTAGAAGAGGCCATATTCACTCAAACTTATTGAAGTGTTGTTCTACAAATTTTACAACAGTTTCCTGAGTATCACAGAGGACTAGTCTAGTGTCACTGCAACAAAAATGTAAAACAAGGAATGAGAAATCTCGGAGAGCTTGAGCAAAAGCCTAAGTGAAAGAACTAAGCTTTTCTTGATACCAAGCTTAGATGCTTCATCTACATCAACAGAAACAAGTCTTCCCACCAGTTCCACAAGAAGACAGAGGTACGTAACTACATGATTCTTGTGACATTTTTGTTATTATTATTATCCTTTACTTAGCTGATTAGCTATTTTTTTCAGGTGCTTGGAAGAAGCAACATGTTACATATCACCCCATGTCTCAATTTCTACAACTCAACCTGCACTATACAAACCACCTCAATCACTATGACAGACAGTCAGCCAGTGTCAGCAACTCTAAGCACAATAACTGAGATGAAAAACTCAGAAGATGACAAGCATTGCACACAGGGGGAAACCTGTGTCTTTCATCTCTTTTTTCCCCACATCAAAGGCACCTTTGTCATCAGCCTGTATCTGCAAAATACCACTTTCCCATATGGAAAATCCAGAGACTTCAGTAGAGCCAAAGAAAATCTGCCCTTCAGTAAGGAAACCTTCAATTTCCTTCCCTTTTAGCTGTAACTCCTGGAAGACAGTGCCCAGTGACAATTAGAATACCCTTTGGCCATAAAAGCATTGAAAGAGAAGACAGGCTAATAGCTAAATAAGTCAACAGTTCATACGTGGACTTTACAATGTAACTTCTGACTCCACAAGAAACTTCATCCACACTCTTTGCCTTACCAGTGCAAGCACAGCCACCACGCTGGAGCTGACAGGATGCCTGGCTGGGCTACACCTGTTTTATGGGGACAACAGGCAAGTATTCCAAGACTTTGAACAAATGCCACTTGTGAACATTCAATCCAGAGAAAATCCATGACTGAAGAAATGAACCTAAAAGTCTTGCTGTTTGGCAACGGACCCTCTAAATATATATATATATATTTAGAAAGCTGAAAAAAACCTTTTGATTTACTTGACATTGTTAGACAGCCATCTACTAATCTTGCTCTGTTGGAAATATTCTATACATTTATTCCTCTCCCTCGCACTTCAGAAATTGCTACAGGATTTAATCCCTGGCTTGTCCATAGTGCTCACTGAGGACAGTAGGGATTCCTCCTGGGAATACTTGCTATGGCCAGCGGCAGCTGTCTGGGGAAGAAGCAGGCAAGAAAATGAACCATAACTACATTTCCTCCACATTTCTGGGCATAGGCCCCCTTTGCTCTCAAAAAGTTAATTGTTTTAAAGGATCTGATCAAATAGAGGATGTTTCAATTAGATCCTAACAAAATCAAGACAACCAGTTTGTGCATTTTTGCATCTCTCAGAGGAAGGCACTGTATTTTTAGGTCATGATCCTTGGAATATTACAGCTCAAAATCTCCAAGCATCTGAATGCTTTGTACTGAGCCAAAAAAACCCCAGAGCTAAGACCAAGTGGAATGCCACAAAGAAGCATCCATTTTAAGCTGATGTTTTATTTCTAGTCCTAGAGGCCACAGACAAAAAAGAAAAAAAAAAGTAGACAATCTATTCCCCAAATAAAAGCACACTGTGCATTCCCTTCTTTGCCTTCCCAAAATGAACGCTTTAGTGCAGTGCTTGGTGTATAAGTGAGCATTTCTTCAAAGTACAAAGCAGAAATAATGACTCTGCCTGTTGCTCACTTGTGCATACAAGCAGATTAGTGACTAACTGCAGACAGCTGATTTCTGCATGGTGGGATGTTTTGACACATATGCCATTGGAAAGAAGAAGAAAAAAAAAAAATAGACAGTCACAGCTCCAGTAAATGTCGGAGCAGGCCATCTGCACAGATTCAGTATAGCTGTATTCTTCAGCCATTTTGTGGCATTATTATTGTATGTGCATATCCCCGTTCAGAACACTTGATGTGGACTTTGACAAAGCTTTTTCAATCCTGCTCCCAGTGCAGAAAGACCCCCAATCATTTCAGTGGGAGCAGAATTTAGACAATTTGGAAACTCTGAGGAAAAAAAGTGCCTCTCATTTAAGAAAAGGTTCAAATTTTCCTTTATACACGTGGATGTGAAACAGCTTTCATGTTACAGGGTTCTTCAAGTGTTTTTATGTAAAAGAACTGGCTGAAGTGTGGACTGGACATGACAAGCACAACAGAAGTAGTCAGTGGGCACTGCCCTACTGATTTTCCAGAGCAGGAAAACATCCTGACAAATCTGGCTGTGTGGTTAGGTTGCAAATCAAGCCTGTTTCAGGTATAGGCAAATGACATTTGACAGAGAATCAATCCAGCACAAAATAAAACTTATTAAAGCATACAGTTACAGTTGGGGGTGGGGTGCAGAGAAACACCCCAAACCCAACAAACAAGAACACTTCTCTCTTTGTTTTTATTCACCCAGCATCCTGAGGAAGGTTTGGAGTGCAGCACTCCAACATATTTTCTAAATTTTAAATGTTCAGTAGACACTGTAGACTTCAAAAATTAAGTAGTTATCTGTGCTGAGTGAAAATTATTAGATAGTTTATGATCCTGCACACACTCCTTCAAAAACAGCAGCCCACAATTTCAAGGAGTGTTTACTTAAACATATCTCTACTGATTTTTATCTGTTATTTAGAAACACCCAGAGGCAAACACTTGTAGACACTATTTGTGCTGAACAACTCTCCCAATTACCTGGCAGAGACACACCCAAGGAAAAGACACACAGCAGAAACAGCTCCACACAAAACAGTAATGCAGAGCAGTGCGAAGTTGAGGTCTCCCACATCCCCACAGTCACACCCATAAGATTATATTGACCCTTCACGGTTCATGCTCATTGAATAAAAATGCTACTTTTGTTTAATTCTCTAATGGTGTAAAAAAGTAGGACAATTTAAAAGACCCATAACCACACCAAACCAAGCTCTATTATTTTGCATGATATGCCAGTTTCATTTCCTGCAGTACTTGCAGTAGCCTAGTAAGAGGCTACAGATCTGCTTGTGCTACACTTTTGGAGGTCAGGGTTCTCTAAGAGTCTTTATATTCATCATACTTCACCAGACAACAGACCATGAGGCCTAATAGACTGTCAGTACATCACAAATTAAATGGAGGATTCAGCTCAAATGTTTGACTCAACTGGAACAAACCTTACTAAGACAGTAGTGCCTGTATGCACTTTTAGGTCAGATAATTTCAAATACACAACTCACATCCTACTTTTACACATCCTAAGAAAATAAAACACACTTAAAATTGACCTGCTGCCATCAAATATTTACTTTTCAGCAATCCCTCCTTTCCAGAAGAAATATGGTTTGCTGAAAAGTTTTTCAACTACCTCTTGAGAGCTGACTGAACCTTGCTCTTGAGGGAGTTGGAATGACTGCCACAAAACCGTCAGCTTGCCCAGCTTAAGTGTGTGAATTCAACATTCACAGGAATTAGGAGCAGGTATCACTAGCTCTTCTGGATTTAGTTTGGGGCTGTTGTTAGATGTTCACTACAGAAGGAGCAGTTACCATCCGATATTCCTGCCCTGGGGCTGCTTGTTGCAACCCCACAGCTCAGTTGGTGGAAAAGTTCATGTGACTGTTTACCATCTGCTCAGTGCAAAGTCAGCTGGCTTAATTTAAAGAACCCTTACTGTCAGCTAGAGGCAAAAGGTCTATGACTGTCTCTGCAGGGCTGTGCCAAAGGTACTCATATCAGGCTTGTAACCAGCCTACAGTTATGTTTTTGACTTTCCCTTGAGACAAGGCCGAATACATTCCAAAGTTCTTTAAGTGATGCTAACAAAAATAAAAACTAAACTCTCCTGTATGAGCCTACCCAAAAGTAGAATGCAGTGCTGGGCTACCTGGCTTGAGGCAGAATTCTAGCCCACCATTCCCAAACAACACAGGGCCTGCAGAATTTCTAAATATACAGGCACCTGAACAGGTAAATATTGTAGTGAGAAATCCAGTGAGCTGCTACTACAACTTCAATTGCTAGATTACTGTAGTTGAGGAGGTTTTCTTCCCAACAGATGTTGCTTAATTACCAGTGTGTTATCACGCTGTAAAGCAATTCATTCATGCTCATTTAAGAAGTTCTGTCATCTACATACCATAAAACAAAATTAAAGGCAGCTGAAGTCAGAACTATCTTGGTATTAGCACAAGCCTAATTTTACAAAGTGGCTGTTCCACATCTAATTACAAAAATCAATACCAAAACTGGCATGCACTAGAAAAGAACAGCTGTTCAATCCTGCATACTGTAATGTGATTATTTGTGAAACATTCAAAAGGCATAGATCTAATCCTGGGTCACCTGGCTAAACCAGACATATTAGATCTTAAAATCTGTCACTCAGTAGAACTACCATTGCTGCAGAAAAGAAAATCAACTTCACATTGCAAACTGTGCCTGATGAGAATCCTTTTGAGCAGCCTTATGTCTTGTGGAATTACTAGCATATAATTCCTTCATTTTGTGATGCTTCTATACTGTATATTTGTATCAGTATTTCTGCCACAGCATAAAAATAGTTTTACCCTACTACACTGTCACTTCTCTGACACCTCTGTGTCACAGGTTTCCTGTATAAAAAAATAGCCAAGTGTGTCATGAGTTTCTCCCTCCATGAGCCTCAGCAATGGAGCTGGGTATAGAATTGGTTTTCATGCCCTCTAAGTTTTTTTTAATCATATCAGGGCATTTTTGCTCAAAAATTATGACAGAACTATAATCTTGACAGAAGAAAAATTCCAGATGTTTCATTCAGACATCTCTGGTACCTTATATTTTAATTTACAGATGCTAAAATTACAGTGAAATTAAAACTAAGCTTAGAAAATATAACCTTTGATCATATGCCCTTTTTTCCCCATTTTCTCCTGGGAAAACTTGTCAAATTAATTTACCTCACTAATACTCATGTTTTTGAAAACCTTTCTTGCTACGAGAAAGGTATTTTGTGTACAAACTCTATCCAGTTCTACTTATCATGAAAACCAGGAATCAAGAGTGAAAACCATCAGCCCGAACACTAAACCGGATGAGAACCAACTAACTGCAGTGCTAGGTAATTCTTTGACTTCAGACTTTCCACAGGTAACAGTAAAGTAAGAATGTATAAATTCCTGAGCTTGTTACAGCACTGCCATTGTTTAAGGACTTCCTGCACTTGGCAACTTACCTTTGTTGGATTTTGGTAGTTCACATGAGCCGCTTCCAATCTTTCGCTTTTTCCTCGAAACAGCTGAATTTTTCCTGTCAAAGGTAATAGGACTGTATTGAGGGAGGCTGTTGAATTTCTTTGCAAATTCTTCTTCCAATTTTGCTAAGCTAAATGGGAAACAAAACCGTTCAAATTAAATGTAACTCTTTCTGGAGAAAAAAGTATATTGTTTAAGAGCATGTCTGTGTATATACACACACCCTTCTACACAGAGAGAGGGGAGGATCAGGTAAGTGCACACACTGTACACACCAAACCAGCATATATTAATCCAACTCTGGAATGAGAATGTACATTTCTGCTTCTGCATTTGTAACAGTGCAAATTGATTACCTTAGTAGCATATGTTAAAATTAGGAAAAAAAAATCAATGTCATACTGGTGACATTTAGCTCTGACATGTTTGCTGCACAGAGTCATACAAGAGATTTGTCTGTTCTGTGAGGGGAATGAACAAAGATAGTAAAACCAATAAATAAAGCAATAAAATAACTTCACATAGAAGTTCTTACGCTAGAATTAAAATTGCATTTCAAACCAGAAGAATGTCAAACAAATCAATTTTCTGTGGATATTCTGAAACATGAATTGTTGGCGTGGGAATTAGCTTTGTATTTGTTCTGGGTGATTAGATTTTCTCCCCTCGTATTTTATTTGCTGTGAGATGAAAAATGCTACTAGCTTATGCTTTCATGAAAGCCAATGCACCTCCTACTGCAGCCTAACCTGAATGACAGTCAGCAGACTAACTACAACTCAAGAAATCCACAGACAAGGTATGATTGCTCCTAATAGCCAGAAAACAAAGCACTCAAAAGAGGATGGCACAGCATTTCCAGCTGTAATGAATACACTGGCTTGCATAAGCACTCTGTTCCTGCAAATTTCTGCAGCCAGGCAGAAGTAGAAATTGTGTTTTAGTAAAAGGCAAGCACACAGTTAGGCAGGTTATAAATAGCACTGTCAATGATAGAGGAACAATGACATCTTCCACTTGTTTTTAATTCTCCTTGCTATGAAAAACCTCAACTTGACAGAAGTTGGCATGACTGTTGGAAGGATGGCCCTTTACACACTTCGAAATATCACAAGAAACATGGTACTTCCCTATGCTTTCTGAAGCAGCACTTCAAACAAATTGCATTCTGAAAGCTTTGTTACACAGAAAGATACCTCATTTTTTTCTCTGTAATTATTACTTTTCTCAGGAAGTGATTTTCCATTTTAAAATACAGCCTTGGCTCTTTGCAGACCAGGTGCATGGTGGGATTAGTTTGTTTGTGTACACATGTTTTATTTTGGTTTTAAATCACAAAGGTCTCTTACATCAGTAGTGCTTGGTACTGTTACCTTTTTCTCTTCCACATGGATGTTCCCTGACAACCACAAAACCATGTGATTTTCTGCTCTGACTCAGCTTCTCTCCCACTGTCTGTTCCCACCTGCCTCAGCTCCTGCCCCGAGGGCATGTGAGGGGCTGCTGCTCTAATTGGGAAGGCCAAACCTCATTTGACAGTGGATGAGCTGCCATCCTGGCTAGTAATTTATAACTTGTGTGACATGCAGGCAGGCAATGGGGAGTGCTGCTATCTCTATGTCAGTGATTAATTATTTAAAGAAATAAAAAATAGTCCACACTGTCATGAATTTTAAGACCCTCTCAGAAGCCTGGTTAGACATGTGTAGCTGAGCTGAGGTGTTCATGCTGCACAGCCTAGTCCTGCCAGGAGATACAGGCAGGGAGAGCCCTGCTTGGCAAGGGAGTGGGAAAGCACATCTGACCCAGACCATGGAACGAAATGTGGGAATCTACTGATGGGGAAGGTACGACACAGGGAAAATGATGAAAATGATGTCATTCTGAAGGGGTGAGGACACAAATGTACAAAATGAGGCTGAAATGTGATGCTGAAGGGAGCAGAGGGAGTTAAGTGGAGCAGGCAGAGGTAAAACCAGCTCTTCAAGTAGCCAGAAGATAGGTAATGCAATGAAAAGGGACGCTGGATACCTTCTCCAGCACTTACCGCTTCACAAATTCATAATTCTGCCTTTACAGAGTTCACTAAATAATACTCATTAATGATGCAACTGAATAAAGATGAGAGATTGGAAAATGTGTATTTTCTCATCCAGCCAGCTAATGAGGGTAGCGTTGAATGAATGATTTAGACAAGTTTCCTAGATAATCTTTGAATAAATAATTTACAACTACTTTTTTTTTATGCTACAGGATGTGATGAGTTTTCCCACCATTATGTGGGAAAGTTTTCAAACTTTCAACTTAAAATATTTCCAAAACTTATATAAAGCTCTAAAAATGCAAATTGCTCGATTTTTTCTTAACTAGTTTTTCTTGACTATTCCAATAAACAAGATTAGGGGACTCCCACTGATTTAATATCTTTGCTGAATGTGAGCTGCAATTAGATGTCACATAAACTAGGTTGTGAAAAGGGTACTGCAAACCTGCAAAACCAAACATATTATAATTTTAAGCATGAAATATGGAACAACTCCCCCTTTTAAATACATTTTCCTATCTGCAAGAATTTTCAAGCATGAATGGCAACCCAGATTTAACTACTAGGCCTGCAGCTAAATAAATCTGTAATACAAAAACCATTACTTGTATACTAGAAAAGTAATTTTGTGCAGTCTTGCTAAATTTTAATGCATCTATACTCATTAATTGTTTTTAAGATATATTTAATTTCATCATGGTAGACATAAATAGTTTAAATATCTTTTCTCTATAATAGAAAAATGACATATTTATCATAATTATTTGCCAATATAAGAACCCTGTTTACTATTCTTCTGTAAGCAATCTCTCCAAATGCGAAAGAGATCTATTCTTTCTAGTCTAATCTGGTTTATGATGATTGAACACCTACACAGAACTTTAAATAGCGCTTGCAAAGTACTCTGAAAATGTAAGTAACCCTCTTCACTACTTTTTGAGCAGGTAAATACTGTGTGGTTTGTTTAGAACTGAGCAAATAACACCATTCAAATTCACTTAGAATGGTGTAAACCTGGAAAGATCTCAAAGGAATTATTTTGCTACATAAATGACAGGTATTTAGAGCATGACTCAGTTCCACAGGGTTTTTCATTTTTGGAATTGTGATTATTTGTGCGTTAGATGCAGGTCACTTAGCTGCTCAGTCTTAAATTATTAGGCTGACCTAACTGAAACATCTAAAAGTGTAAAGCCACAGCTTACCCAAAAACAAACTCTTCCTTTGGCTTAGTCTTTTTCAGTTTCTTGTTCCCACTTGTCCCACTTGGGGAAAAGGCCCAGATTTCTTCATTCCAGCATCCTTCATGATCTGAGGAGTTACCTTTTCCTGAGCTTCTTTTTCCTGTGATGAAAGCAGAAAATTGTTTCTCATCTTTAGAAAAATGTTCAAAAAAAAAAGACTCAGAAGAAACTTGTGTACCCAGTCAGTACAGCAACTTATGAAGCCTGACCTTCTTTAAGGCAGTTACAAAACATTTTTCCTTTTAAACTGGGCAATGATGATATTGACAACTATTCTGCCTGCCCTGTCCTGTCTTTTCCTGGAGTATCTCAAAAGTCATGATCTCTTAAGGTATAAAGCAGAAAGAGATGAAGAGATATATAGTAATAAGCTTCCCTAAATTACAAACACCTTTTTTTCTTTTCTGACTATTCTAATTACACACATAAATCTACCAGTTGGAAAAATAAACTTCCAGACATTTCACTGAAAGCTTACAGATATTATCTCAAATTTGTCCATCCACAAGATAAAGGGCTCTCACTTACTGCCTACAGTAAAACTAACAAAAATTGCAAAACCAGAACCCATATGCTTCTTGCAGGATTGAGAACTATGCTCACAACCACAAGAGTTGTTTATATAGAAACAAGGTAATTGTTCGGGGTTACACACATCACAGGTCCTGCACACATCTACCAGCAGGCTGACATATTAAACAACAAAGACTTCAGTGAAGAAGTGAAAACTCAGATAATGAAAGATAAAAATAGAGCAGCCAGGAGTTTGTGAGGTAAGCAGGAACACAGATTGCAAGACTTCAGAAGACCTGCTGTGGAACAGGGAGCCCAGACACTGCACCTGTCCTTAGCATCTCAGGTGGCCAGACACAATATTCCCACTGCACACTGCTCAAACTCCAGCTTAAACATGGATTTTTGCTTTTCCTCCCACTCCAGGCAGGCTTTTGCAGTTCATGCTGTAAACAAAACACTCAAAGCCACCCACCTCTGTCCACGTTAGCGCGCAGAGATGTGAGCATGCCCTCTGACACCAGAGTTTTATAAAGAGCACCTTTGCAAGATCTCTCTGATTTCCTGGAGCCACAGGTTTCTATCTTTTTAACACAGTCACTGTCCTCAGTTTTGACCTGTTCTGGTAAGCTCTGGGGTACCACCTCCTCTGTTGGGGTCAGTGGTTCCACTTTAATGTTATCAGAAGCCTCACACGGTACTTCCTTGCTGGCTTCAATACTTAGGAAATCGGGAAGCTTGGATTCTTTGGTGGTCTCCGTTGGTTTCTCCTTTGATGTTTTCTTTTCTTTTGATTTCACTTTTTTCTTTGGTGATTTTGTATCCAACATGCTTCCCTTCACATTTGAGACAGGGCGGTTCTTTTTGCGGGGGGTATCCGTGAGTCTCTCAGCACCCCAGTCCCCCTTGGCCACGGCTTCAATTGTGTACATTACACTTTCAATGTCCGACTCGGAGGACTGCCTCTTTTTACAAGATTTTTTGGGGGTGGATTTTTCATTTGTGTGCCGGTCCAACTTATTTTTTTTCTTTTTCTTCTTTATCTTTTCTGGCTTTAGCCCAAGGATAGTCATGTCACTCAGGAAAAGCTCTGGAGAACGGCACACGTGATCCTTTGTGTTATCCTTCCTCTCAAAAGGACTGTTTTCCAATGCAAGACTAGTAAATTCTCTGCATTTTGCAGTTTCTGATTCCTCAGCTTTTGTTTCATCTGGGTTTTGCATTTTTTCTATCTCTGATTGTTCTACTTTTCTATTACTGGAGTCTTTTACTGTTGTTTTCTCCAGTTCTACTTCCATGTCCTCTGAAACTTCCCCTTCCTCATCTTCCAGTGCTTCCACTTTTGTTTTCCCAGGTTCTTTCACTTTTACTCCTTCTGAAGCAAGGCACATCTAAAATAAGTTTAAAAACAGTCCCATGAAACAAAAGTCTACTGTTAACATTACTTATACTAACAGGGAATTACTTATACTAACAGTGTTTAACAGGGAATCTCTCTGGCATTTTAATTTAGGAAAGCAAACTGTGCTAAGGGGACCATACTGAAAAACAGGCTGAAGACATGCTGAAACTGATGCAATGGGATGAGGGCTAAGTGCCAGAATAAGGCTGGTAGGTTCATTGCTCTAATAGAAAAAGACTCCATCTGATCTCAGTGGTGTTTCCTTTAAGGCTCTTTATATCATCTGGAAACCCACTACTAGACAGATTTTCAGAATATATGAAATGCAACAGAACAGAGTTATCTCTGACTACTACATCCGTTCCCCCTTCAACTTTCAAATGTCCCTAATACAATTCCTTTCTCCATTTTCCAAATGGCCTTGAAGGAGGGAGGGAAAAATGTTTACTGAATCTCCTTAACTGAGATTATTTTTTTTTTACTTGAATGTAGGAAATAATTTGGAAGGTAGTACAAAAGCCTTCCAAATCTTTCTTCTCATGTCACAGACTTATTTTGCAAAGAACGGCAAAGCAGCAGTGGTTGCCATGGTTATCTCCTCCTAGAGATAACACTAATGGAAACCAAAATCCTTATACTATGTGAGGAACATCGACATTAAGAAAAAGATCTGTCAGAAGGTCCTCAGACTGCCATGTTCCTACAGCAATGACTTAGGAGATCCTCTCTGGTTTGGATCTCCTAAGTAAGCTATGTGGACACGGCTACAGAAGGTAGTCCTTCACGGTACCAACCAACAGCCCTTAGGAAGACATGCTTTGTTCTTACTGTCCTCTCTCAAAGCCCCCAAGCTGAATTCCCAGTGCAGTTTTGTTTTTAGAACAAATGTCAACCAGTCACCTGGAGCAAAACCAGATGGAAGAGGCTTGCTTTGAACCAGACATCAGAAGTTTCCCACAGCTCAGCCCACAGGCCATGTGGTCAGTATGGATGTACCTCCCCGAGACACATGGGTTCTCTTTAGGTCCATTTGAGATTTCTCAAATTGGCAAGGCTTTTTTTCCTTGCAAACTGAAAAAGTCTCTCATACCAATTTATGTAAGAACATAACACCAATGATTTGGATGTTTTTGTAGCAGGTTTCCAAAATTCTTGCTACCCAAGGTAGAAATTACTGATCTAGTTCAGGATAAGCTGGGTTGAGCACTGTAAAGTACCAGAGCTTGGGCAATACATGGTATCTATTGGGAAGGAGGTTAGACTAGGCAAAGGAGAACTCCACAACTGATGTGGGTTCGTGGTACAAAGCTGCTTCTGTGACTTTTTTACTACACTGCAATGTTAAGCACAGCCTGTGATTTTCAAAAGCTGAAGCTCAATCTTTAAGATGGAGCTCACTGGACTAAAAATATTTTGTCAATTCAACATACATTCCATAGCCAATGGATTTTTTCCTTTTATACATTTGCTTCTTCTGCAGTAGCCAGTTGTACAGAGCTACAGATGTGGCTACAAAAAAAGTGACTTCTGTCTTGTCAGCAAACAAACTTGCAATTAAACAATCTTCAAGACTGGGAAAACTAAAAAAAGTGTTTAGAAACAAAAAAAGGCAAAATTTCAATGAAGTGCCATTGGTTTTAACTGCTCCCAGAAGGAAGATCTGCTGAGAGTACCATAGCAAAACTTCTATGTAAGTTATTGACCTGTTAGTTCACCTGAAAAATAAAATGGGCACGAAAAGCAAAAATAAATGAAAGCAGCTCATGACTATTAACATGAATTTGTAATGGCAATGCCTGAATTTCATAACACAGCCATCCAGTCCTCTCTCTCAACTATTTGTGTCCTTCAGCTAAGCCCTAAGTCCTCAAAGCCTAAATAAGAAACTGACTCCAGTTCAGTTGCAAGAAAGTCCCTTTGCCACCAGGAATTGGTGGTACTTATCAACTGCACCAGACTCTTAGAAACCTCTAAGCTGATGGCTAATCTGGGGAAATCGTGACTTGTGGCATCTGAGCCATGATAATTAATGGTTCTGTAAGCAGCGGTGCAATTACAACTGTATCACTGTTCTGCCTTGCAGACTTTGGCAATCAACAGCTTTAACTTCTCCACCCCACTGCACCTGGGGCAATTAGTCACCAGTGTTTTAGTATTACCTCTGCCAGCTGAAATAATGCTGATGTTCCACACTGTTTTGTTAAATCCGAAGGCCCTGAATGGGATGTACTTGAAGAAATCTATGGAGAGAAAAATCAACACAAATAAAACAGTCTTTGGTCACTACCAATTCTTTTATGTTTATGACACAGCTTTTCAATGGATTGTTTTTCCCCTTCCTAAAATTAATTAATAAGATTATATACTAAAAAAGAAGTGTAGACCTGTGCATGCTAGTATGAATAAAAGCCCACTGCAGCACTGGTGGATAATGCTACTGTACACTAAACAATACTTGCACATTTGGGGTTTTTCTTGTCAGGACTCCCTTTGAAGAACAGCATGAACTGAAACACATGCTCTTTCACACAGGAACAGACTCCAGCAGTTAAGCAACAATCTACACTAGCATGCCACCCAGCTGGTGGTGTTTTTAAAGGCTTAGCAGGACACTGAATTCCAAAATTTTTAATTATTTCATTATTACAGGTTAAGGAGGCTATTTCTTTCAGGTTATGATTTGCCTTTTGGTGTCCTATAGGACTCATATAAAAGAGATGCACTGAACCCAAAGTTAAGTAGAAGCCCTCAAGCCTTTGGTAATCTTTAGTATTCCTCAGAATAAAAGGAAGCTGTCATGCAAGCATGCAGCTAATTATCCTCCAGAATATTTTTCCTGTATTAGGCCATGATCCTTTTCAGTACTTTTGAGTGTTTTGTATCAGTTTTGAGCTAGGTGCAAGGAAACGATCTTTTCTAAACAACTTTAACAGTATCAGTATCAGGATTGGCCACTAGTATGAAAAAAATGTTACATTTTTAAGGACATATCACATCTCAGACCAGGCTTGTGGGTTTCTTATACTTCCTTCTTTAGGCTGCATAAGAAAGTGAAGTTATAAGGGACCGGGGAACCAAGGTATTTACACCCTTTTGTCTCTCCCTGTACCCACAAACTCAGTTTTCATTGCTCTCAACCAACATGGGCCTACAAAGTTGATCGCAGAATTTGGCCTGTCACCGCCATAAAGGAAATAAACAAAAACCAACCCTGTCTCTGCATCTCCTGGAAGGTGCAGCTTCTCACAGCACCTCCCAAGCTCTGACCATCAGAGCTCAGGCCTCCACATGCTGCTGACAGCCAGGTGCTGCTAGTGCTGTGCAGTGGCCCCCCTGCCTTGGTGAGGTGATGCTCCACTCCTGCACTGCCTCCCTTCGCTCTTGTGCCTCCACATTGAAGACTAAAGACAGGAAGGGACTCAGCAGAGCTGAACAGCAACAGCCTCCCAGGCTTCAGAATGCAGAGTGGCTCCAACCATTTGTACAAACTTAGAAATCCTCAGAAGTTTTAGAAAATAATTAAACCACCTTCTGCATTTTATTTTAATCACCATCTGTGAAATATTGTGAAATATCAAAAAGGAAGGGATAGGGAAGAGGGGAAAAAAAAAGAAGATAAAATTGTTTAATCTACATAGCAAAGAGATGAAGGAGGAGCAGAGCAAAGTAGTATGCTGAAGAAGACAGGCTCCCACACACCAGACACTTGCCATGCCAGCAGCACGGAAACAGTAGTCCCCTCCAGAGCACAGCATCTGCAGTTTGGAGTTACAGCAGCATAGCACAGCTGTCTGCTAAATCCACTTGCAAACCTAAGACACCCTCGATCGAGGTGATTATGAACATGGTTTATTTGGGATACTCCAAACAGGGACTGAACTGCTATCTGAAAACTTAATATAATTTATTCAACTATGATCCAACATTAGAGATCTCCAAAACTAAAAAAAAAAAAAAGAAAAAAAATCAATAGTACTGATGTCCTACAAGAGCTAGATATAGAAGATGTGCCTAGCACATCTGCTGTGTTTTTCCCTGCTTGAATAAGAGCCTTTAAGGTCCATTTTGTGTATTAAATTAGGCTTGCAGGACACCATCTGAGCAATCATGGAAACCTGTCCAACATACAATGTCATGCTGCCAGACTTAGCTTCACTTTTTCTGCCACCTGCAGTACAAACTGTGCACTCCTGTGGACAAGCATCTGTCCTTCTACTAAATTAGGGCTTCACAATCTTCATAGTCACATCACAACTTCTAACACTGACTTCTAAAAATCAGGCTGCACACAGCAATAAGCCTTACTCCAGAACAGCATTACTCAGCCTGCTGCTGTCCTGTTAGAGGCCATGTTACAAACTTCTGGTGTCCCTGAGTAAATACTACCAGCCCTTCTGCTGGCCCAGAGCTGCAAAAGCCAAATACCCTTATGGATCACTGACGACAGTTGGGTGTAATCACCCTTGCACAGACACTGCTGGCAATAGAGCATATAGTCACAAACTCTACTACTGCCAGAGACTGTCTGTACAGTAAGGCAGATTTTCTTCCACTCATTTAAGTTCCTATAAAGCCACAGTCTTGCAAGACAATCCATAGAACAACACATGAAATACTTTCATTTCAATGCTTCCAACCTCTGCCTTTTTCCTGAGAGGGACTGATCTCACCAGCAAGAATTTAGGGCTGGCTGCAACTAGACAGGATCCAGAGAACCATTTTCCTTACTGAAACAGGATGTGAATTTGAAATAAAAAACTAAAACACCACAACAAAAACCAACAAAAAAAGTGTACAGGTAATGTGCTAGCATACTCCCTTATTTGTCTGGAATACAGCATGTATCTTCATCTTTCAATCTTCACAAAGAATAGCATCTGCACATCAAACCTCAGAGATTTTTGAGTGTCTCATCCATATCAAAGAGAAAACCTCTACAACATTATATTTAAGACTCACAGAGAATTTCTAGGACTTTGAGGAAACCTGACCCAGCATTCTTGATTACTGCTGACAGTTGCCAATTTCAAAATTTAATACACTGCATCAACTTTCAACTCTTGACACAGATTCCTGATGACCTCAAAGTCTACTCTTCTTTTCCTATTCTCAGTCCCTGATTAAGCAATGCACCTTCCAATCATCATAATTAAAGCTTTATTTTTTTAATCTTGGTATGCAGCTCCTCATTAAAAATACTGTTATCTTCTGTCTTTGCCGTTCTCCTGAGCATTGTTTTTATTACCATTATAAAGCTAAATTTCCTAAAAAGAAGTGTAACTTTCTGTGCTGTCTCTAAGAAAATAAGCACATTCACAAGCATCTAAAAGACTAGGTCCCTGGGACCACAGCCACTGCCTACTTCTCTTGGTATATCATTATTTACTAATCTATTTTTATGAAAACACCAAATTTTATACTAGAGCAAACCTTAAACAATTCATACTTTTTTTGTGGAGAAGTTATACACATCCTCCCCTTCTGACACTAGTGGGTATAACTTTACCTCTGCCAACTGGAAGAGTGCCGACTTCCCACAGTGCTTTACTGGCTCAGGACTTGGCAACTGGGAAGTATTTGATGAGATCTAGGTTACAAATGAACAGAGAAGAAAATATTTCAGTGGCACACAGGAAAGACAGAAAGGGAGGGGGGAAAAAGGAATGGAAAATAAGAGATTAGTTAAATCAGTTAATTTTACTTCTTTCTGGCAGAAGGACCTACTTCAGACAGGCAACCCCACCCAAGAAACACTTAACAGATAAGTAGAAAACAGGAGAATATAAGCAAATACCACATTCCTTCCTTGGATTATGCTCATGGATACTCTATGTTTGTACTGTCCACAGCTAATATTCACGCTGTATGTTTCACATCTCTTTTATGTGACCAAGTGAACAAATCATACCTGTTGCTTAAAAATATGCCCTATTGCATATTGTTAAGGTTAAATAAGTTGTTAAGGTTAAATAAAATTCTCTCAGAAGGTTTGGGCAGTATTTCCCATTATTTAGACATAGATAAGGACCATCTGTCCTCACAGGCAGTTATTGTTTCACTTTCTTTAGTTATGAAAAAGGAAGTAAGACCTATGTCTGGAGATTAAATCTAGCCTTCCAAAGAGCTGTTGGTGTGCCAGCACCTCTGATAAGTAAATAACTACCATTACCACTTTAGGGAATTGCTTTTACAGCAGATTTTTTTCAGACCCGCTTTCCAGTGCAGCATTATAAATTCAGAAATGCAAGATTTTTCTGATATGTGACCTTTTTTTGGCTTGGCATGGCTTTGCATGGTAGTATTTGACTTAGAAGCCTTTAAAAGCCTTGGGACAAAATCATCAGTGTTTCTGTGGTATCTCCCTCACCACAAAAATCACACTTGGGACCATGATTGCGCAGGTAGTGACAGGACAAGGCAAATGGTTTTAAGGTGAAAGAGGGCAGGTTTATGGCAGATGTTACGAAACATTCTTAACTCAGAGGGTGATGAGGCACTGAACAGGTGGCCCAGACAGGCTGGTGCTCAGGGCCAGGCTGGATGGGTCTTTGAGAAACCTCGAGTGGAAGGTGTCCCTGCACGTGGCAGGGGGGTTGGAACAAGATGAGCTTTATGGTCCCTTCCAATTCACAATATCCTATGGTTCTATGATCTTCCACATGCAAAAATTATGTTTGCCTTTCTCCTTGTAATTAATTCTTTCTTTTGAATTAGGTTATTTGAAGAATTTAGCTTTCAATTACCTGTCAAAAAATTTATTATTACACTCTCCACGACATCCTCCTCCACCAAAATCCAAGACATCCATTTCACTTAAACCTATTTAAATACAGCAAATAATACTCAAATGTGCACTAGCAGTAATTTTTAATATTAAACTGAATTTTTTAATATTAAACTGAAATTTCAGCATCCTAGTTTTGCTTTGAGACAGTTCAGTGAACCTGCTCAGGACTCCACTTGACTAAGTGATTTTGTACACTGAACTTCAACTTTTTATCTTTCTCTTTTAACAAATGCTCATCTCAATGATTTTTTTCCCCGCATAATATGAATGGCAGAAAAAGGAGAGAACAACACCCACATGCACCGAATTATAACTTGAGAACATACAGGCATATCTTGCCTCTTGATGCAGAAATTGAGGAAACAGTAACAAGACAAACTAGTACTAAAAGAAAGAGGAAGCAGACACTTCATATCAGAAAAAAAAACCAAACCCCAACCTTTAAAGAGCTAAGAAAACAAACAACAAGTGACAGAATTGAGATTACAGATCCCGTTCTCTGGTTTAAGAACATCTCCCAGACTTAAGAATAAACAGAATCTCCAAAATTACAACTACAAACAGTCCTTTAGTTATGTAGAGGTTCAAGTGGAGGATTGTGGGAACTCAGTAGGATCAAGTTACTATCTTTTATTACTGTACAGGTGGGACTTTAGCTATTATATTACATTTTCATTTGCAAAAGAAACTTCATCTTCCTCCTAGAACAGGCGTTTTCATCTTCCTCCTAGAACTACTTTTTCATCTTCCTCCAACACAAACATTTAATAATTTCAGTATGTGGCCAAACAGCAAATACATTTTTCTTTACCTGAGAAGATTACAGCTTTACATATGGAAGCTGGAAGAGCAAACACTCACTAGTTTTTACACTCCAAATTTTAAGGTATCTTGACCAAAAGTTTTGGAAGCTCAAACTTCCTGTTCTGCACAGAAATAAACAGAGAGCAAACCTTCCCAAAGTGAGTATGTAAGAATGCAGCATGGACAAAACCATCCATGTCATGCTTTTTTTTCTTAAATGAAAGTAACAGTAACATGAGGGACTAGCAAAAAAAAAAAACCACAAACATCCACCTTGTTGCATACTGCACGTGACTGGTTTTTTTTGCTTGGTTTGTTTTTTTTAAATTAAATTACTTTGAGAAAAAAATTTAGAAAAGCTGCTGAAAGCAAAGAGTTTGGTAGTTGTGGATTAATTTTATTTTCAAGATGGTTGAACTAGCAATTCTTTTGTTTCCATACCCCAGAAGCCTTTTCTTTAACAATGAGTAAGAGTTTAGGAAAGTAAATCCAAGAGGTACTCATCTTTCCTCTCAAGGAAGCAATCACCACCATCTGTTCACATTTGCCAAACACAGATGCAGTAAGACCAAGGGGTCCCATCTGCTCTGCTTCCCTCTCATGGCAAGGAAGGGGACAGTGACCAGTCCCTGTGAGCAGCCAGCCTGCAAACAGCCACTGCCCTAAGGAACACTGCTCAGAAATCACAGCCTTTCCATACGGGTCCAAATGAGAAGGACAAAAGTAGGGCCAACTACTTGCAAGGTCAGAAGCAGAGAAAGCCAAAAGCATAACTTGACAACAATACAAACTTCAAAAAGCTCTTATGAGGATGTCACATCATCTTTGAAGACCTCCAAGGCACTTGCCTGTGCACCCACAGAACCGAATGAAGTCTTGCTTCCAGGATTTTCATCATCTGTTGTGGCAAGTCACTGAGCAGGCCTCATTAGGCATATCCTGAACAGCTTTAATTGACAACTACAGCACTTGGGCTAGACAACCAGATGAAAGACTAACTGAGGCTGTAAAGACAAAAACAGTCCCATGCTATTCTACACATAATGAGCTGTTTCTGAGTGACAGGGCACTTGTACTCCTGGGGTAAAGGTGTCTGTTTTAAATGACAAACCTACTCAATGGGATTGCTGTCTTCACAAAGAGGCACCTCTTACTCACCCTGCTGCAAGGGCGGTGAAGAGAAAGGCAACATATGAGGAACACCCAGCTAGAACCAAAACTGAGCTGGGATGGCTGCCAGAAGTCTCCAGGCACATCAGACCAGAGCACACTTCATATTTCTTCACAGGTCTACTTGGCTACTGGTTAAATAACTACTTTCTCTCCTTCTCTTTTTTCTTTTGTAGCACATTGATGACAGCAGCCTACTGCAAATTGCTTGCCATAATTTAGTTCTCTAAATGCAGTAATGTGTTCATATAGACAAGATGCAGTAAGAAGTGGCACAGTAAGGAATAGGACTTTTGCCAAATTTCACAGTGACAGCCTGTGCAAATGAAAGCCCTTATAGCTGAAAGAACACAAGCAGCTTTAATAGCAGGGGAGAAAGCTTAAAGAGGTTCTGTAACATGCTCAATACTTTCCCCAGGAGCAACCTAAATTAAATAACCAGGCTACAAGCTTAGAAAAAATGTCATTTCTCTACTGCTATAGATAAAAAATTATGTTCATCACTGTCATTAAGGTTTCACAGCAAGAATAACCATGGCTAAGGTAGGTTTTTAATTTTTTTTCCTCTTTACTGAATTTGTCTCCTATTTCCAGCCACAGAACAAAATCAACCCCTCCAGACTGCACACACATTTAAATATTTTTACAAGAAAAAGAGATTAACCCTGACTCTAAAACTGTCCTCAGTAAATCCTAGTTGATTTTCTAAGCACCTCTTCTACCTAACATTCATATGTGCACTCCAATGTGCCAAAGGAGCTCACTCAGCATAGTGGAATGCAACTTAATGCACTATCACATCCATATGACAATCTTCAGGTTTGTAATTTTGTTTGTTCAATTAGGAGACGAAATGGTCTTAGGTTCTGTGAAATTCTGAGAGTATGGCTAAGCCAGGTTTTATATAACAATTTAAGAATGTTGTACTAAATGCAATACATACTGTGTTCAACTCTGCAACTACCCAGAATGACTTGATATTTTTGCAACTAAGTTAGCAGATTCACTTGTAGTATTAGTCCAGTATTTTGCAATAAAATCAACAAGAAATGTTCTCGTTTGTATCTTTTAACTTGGTTTAAAAGTCTAGCTTCAGCACATAGTTTCATCCTGCTCAATTCCACTAATTTTCTCAAAAGAGCTTTGCAAATTGACTTCTAACTTTCAAAGCTGTGGTACATATGAAAATACCTTCATTATTAGAGATATTAACTGCATTGTATCTTTTATAGGAGTGTTTGTAGCTAGGTATTTTTGTGACACCTGAATCAGTAAATTGATTTGTCTTCCTTGGCCTGCCTAAGAAAACACTAAGACCCATTCCAGCCACGCTAAAAAGCATAGCAGACAAATCAGCTCAACATTTCACAGAAGGAAGTGCATGAAACACAGAGTAACAATCAGGGTATCTTTTAATCCCTTTATGCTCCTCTGCAATAGCACCAGCTCCAATCCCAGCCTTTTCAGACACACACAAAATGCACCTGCAGCTTAAATGATTCTGCAAGCAGTATCAGACTCCCCCAAATGGGCAAGAAGAGTAAATGTGCAGAAAATCAATTCACAGAGGCATATTCAACACATGGGAGAAGAAATTCCTAAAAGCAGCATTTCACAAACTCCCAATCTTCAGTATGTAGAGGAAGGCAGAAAGGCTACATACTTATGGGAAACTGATAGGCTTGATAATTCACCACCTAACTGATGCTGTTAAATATTCTTGTGGTTGTTGTGATAAGCTTCCTTTGACCTGCAAGGATTCCAAATAATTCCTGCCCCTAGGACAATCACTATTCTGCCCTGCTGCAGCCTCTTCCACAGGCAGTGCAGTGCTATTTCAGAATGTCTTTTAATTGCTGTTTTCCTGGATGTAAATTAAAAGGCCATTTGGATAGTAAGTCTGCAGTTGGTTCCGTCCTCTGGGTACGGAATCCCCAGTATCTCTCAGCTGGTAGAACTGGCCAACATCTCATCCAGTCACTGGTTATTCACCCCATGGTTTCTTAACACAATACTGTTAGGAAGATACACATCTCTTGATGGGAATCTCTGATAATACAGGGTGCTTAGCCATTCAGTGGCAACTCTTAGGGTTCCTTGCTTCCTCCCATCCTCCCCCACCACATTCAGCCATTGTACCTCAGCAAACTGAAACAATGCAGACTCCTCCGTTTGTTTTACTGCCCCCAGGACTCCAGGCTGTGACGTGTTGGAAGAGATCTGTCAGGAAAACAATTATGCTTGTATTACCTAACTGTTCAGTTTCAGTATCACACTTCAACATGCTAAATTTATAATCTGACATAAAAAGATTCCTGGTACTCCAGAGAATGCAAACGAGTCCCAACACACCCTTAGAACAAACAGTATCTGTTTTCCAGGAAACACATAAACAGGTGATCTGTGAAATGATAATCTTGAATTATTTTTCAGAAGGAAAATCCTTCCTAGGATCTACAAAATAAGCTTTTTTTGAAGGGCTTTTATTTGCCTCCTGATATATAAAAGAAGGGTTAGCAACAAGTACTTAACACTGTATTGTATTTCACAGTTCAGTGGAAGACCTGAGACTGCAGAATGGTGGTGATGACAGAGCACAAATTGCTACTTAGTACAGAAGGTAAAGCGTGGATAGAAACACAATGTGCGCCAGGTATTTTGAGACACCAGATCTATCCCACACACTAAGTTAACTGCATTTCATACTGTTTAACTTGTGTCGATTAGTTTTGTTGCAAATGACACCTCTGATTAATGTCAGACTTCACTGCAAGTATCAATTATTTTGCCACTGACACACATACCTACCATGCACTGGTTAGGTGCATCCTCTCCACAGGATGTTTAACATCCTTGAAAAATAAGACTAGCTAATTTGCATTTCTAAGTACTGATCGTCAGTAGGCTACTTCTAAACCACATGCTTTAGCAATGCAGGTGAGCTTGTTTCCTAGCACCCACTAAACATTTTCTTCGATGGGTAAGGAAAAGCCTGAGGTCAGAAACCCTTAGCAAGGGCGTATCTGGCAGTACACAATTCCTGCCTACTACCACATGCAACTGGCACCTCCCTCCTTTGGCACTGTAAAATGAACTGAAACAATTAGGCGAGCTGGTATTTGTCTTACTCTTTAAAAGATTCAGCAGTGAAATTCAATACAAGACATTGCTCTACTGACAGTATAAGCACACAGAAGCACCTCAGAAATATGGGAAGATGGATGTTGAATCATTACCACAGAAGTGTCATAAGTGATACTGGAATTAACCAATTCTAAGAAGCATCTAAGTATTGCTTTTCATTGCTGGCACACCAGGCATCTCCTCTTCCTAACAAGAAAAGCCAGCAGGCTGTTTAAGAGCCTAATCTACTTCACTCTGGCCATTATCTTTAATCAGAAATAAAGGATCAGTGCTCCAATTTATTTCTAATACATTTGAAAGACCCAGATCTTAAGCTGGAATTCAAGGGCTTGTGCACTGATGTTAAAATGTCCAACTGAAAAAGAAGTCCCATTTCTTGTGTGCTAGGATTGCAATGTATCTGCTCCCAAAGTGATGATCTTTTAGGGAGGAGTATGAATGTGCACAAGGCAATGGGTAATAAAGACACACAAGTCAGACTCACAGCTGGTGTGAATACAGGTAATAAAAAGCCCTCACTATGACAAAATTTCTTTCCATATACACTTACTTAAAAACTACCCAGTGAGTTGTAAATCAGTACCTATACAACTAAATATTTCTGTGTCATGTATTATGATTATTTCAAGAAACAAGTGATGCTTGCAGAGAGTTCCTTGCATTCTCATTTTTGTCATGTTATTTATATCTGTGAAACCCATTAAGACTTGGATGAAACTTTCTTCAAAGAAAAAGAACAACACACACCACAGTTGCACTTCTAGCAATAACTGGAGTATGTTGACAAAAATACTGTACACTGCAAAATTAAAGCACACTTGCATAGAGCTGTTTGATGGTTCTAGAAGAAAATTTTGCAGATTTAAGAACTAGAATGATTTTTGACGGAGCCGATGACTAAAGCAGCCACACTAGATTAGAAACATCCAAACATATGTTAAAACCTTAGTTAATAAGGCTCTAGTTTAAAACTAAGTGCAGGAATGACATATCTCCAAATTACAGCTTAAACCACAGCTCCATTATTGCACTTGGGTTTCCACCAGGGTCCTAAACACACTCTCCTGCACTTCAAGCCTTACCAACCTGATAAATGATTCAACAGCATAAAACCAAAAATGAGGCAAGAAATAAAAGCATCAATTTTAGTTAAAGACATTTGATTTTTCTTTAGCTGGACATCAGATGCTTCTTAAAAGGATACACTTAGAAGAAAACCCTTTTTTAACGAAACTCACCTCTGCAAACTGAAACAATGATGACTTCTGACAGGCTTCTGTAGAATTAGATGTATCAGACTGGCAAGTACTGGAGGAAACCTGGAAAAGGGAGAGTGCAGGGTAAGACCTCAAAGGTGCTTCCCTCAAGCTAAAAACAACAGTGAGCAAAATAAACTATTTAATACAAGAAGGACAAGCCAATGTTTCACAGTCCTGGAAAGATTAAATCATATTTCCAGATGAAAACATTGCTTAGCGCTCATTGTAATGCATTTGAAAACTGTCTTAGAAAAAAAGACCACAAAAATACCAGGCATTTCTTCTCCTTTTATGATTCTGAACTTGTCAGAATTGTTTTATACAATGGAATATCAATGGATTATACTGAACTGCACACATAACTATCTTGTATTCTTGATGCTCTCAACACTGCTATATCTGTAATTTGTGCTATAATTCTGCGTAAGATTAAATAGAAGGTAAAAAAATATTTTGAAGACAGTTGATGACAGGAATACTAATTAGAAAAATAATCTCCAATCATAACAGCATGAAAATAAGTAGATAAGGGTAGCACAAGCCTAAAATTTCTCAAATCATGTACCTAAACATACATTTTAGAAATGCTTTTGAGAAGCAGTGCAAGAAAGTCATTATAACTGAAAATAAAATACAAAGAAATGACTGTACAAAATCAAAAGCCTTATTTGAATTAACACAGATCTTAGCCATGGTAATCTTATTAGCTAGAAATGTGTTAATCAAGCATTATTCTGTAAAGGAATTCTATCAAATATGATACATTCATTAAGTGTCACATTTGAGTGTAAAAGATTTACATGTGTAACTCCTAGGAGAATGAAGTACTGTTAGAATAAAATAAGGTATGTAACACGGCTTGTAAGAAACAGAAAAAAGGAAGGAGGCTTTGTAAGATTTTATAAAAAGTAACAGAATGGAAATTTTTTCCCTAGCAACTTTTTTCCCCCTCAAAATATCAGTTTACTTAACAACTTCAAAAATAAACGTGGGCTTTTTTCTTCTTCATTACCTAAACAAGTAAATCAACAGCTTTTATTGCTGAAAGCACATGAGATTTAGCTACTGCCTGCACCTGCTAGTAAGCACGAAGCCTCACAGCATGTGCAGCTTGTCCTGCTGCTGCTTGTCTGAGATCCTGAAGCACTGCAATAGCAACAGCAGCATCTGCCTTCAGGAATCTGCTACCCATGCTCCCCTGGAAACACAAAATCCAAGTGTAGCAACCCAGAGGACAAGGGGAAATTCACCAACGTGACAATTGGCTTACATATCTAAACAAACTTGTTTCTTCTCTGCCATAAACTGGATCAGCATCAGTTACTCCTGTGACCACTGTATTTATTAAACCACTGTATTTATTACACCACTGTATTTATTAAACACTGACCATGATGTTTTATTGGTGTACTATGGGAATACACCAACCCAAAGGGCTATAAAGAATGTACTTCTAATGTCTGTCTTCTGCCCTTTTGGTAGGTTTTCCTACAGTTTTCACTGCCTTAATGTTTATAACTGACTTTTATCATGTTTCTGTACAGTCTGTTTAAGATGTCTGTGCCTTAACAGTAGTCTGGACTATTACCAGAACAGTATCTGACTGCTTTTGAGAGACCCATCTCTGAAGGTGTGAGACTCTACAGAGGTGCAAATATGTAAAGTCGCTGCTTGCATGTCTGGGCATTCATTTGATCATTTTAGGCCTCTGCACTGGTGGGATTTTTAAAAGAATAACCAAATTTTGGACTTGTTTCCCATATCTTCTGCAATTCAACCAGCTGCCTTATACTGCTCTGCTCCAAGTTTGGAGCCATTGAGCCATGGACCCCAGAAGCATCGTGCTGGAGTGGCACTGCCCTTCCAAGAGAGGTTATCCGGGCTCAGCCCCCACAATACAGCTGCTGTCAGACACTCAGGATGAGCCTTCTCACTGCCTCGGATGCCACGTGCTGGGGGCTGGGCACAGCTTGTACACCTGGTGGTACCAGAACCATTTGCTGTGGGAGGTGTGAAGCCCAGTTTTCTACAGGTTTGTGTGTAGAGGACAGACTGCTGGTGCTCAGTAGCTCAGTGGAGGTTTTGTGGTTGGAACCACTTTTGCTATCAATTGATGCTTTTGCTATCAATTGATGCTTTTGCTATCAATTCCTGCTACTCTTTAGAAAGTTAATGCTGTTGCTTTTACTTGGCAGAACACTAATTAGAGCTTCTTCTTCTACTTTGCTGCTCCCCAAACATTCTTGACCCGTGGGAAACTTAGTATTTCCACGTCTTCTACCATTTGTCAGGTTGAACCTGATCAAAGCATTAAAATAATTACCAGAAGGAACACATGCACAGATAGTGGCATTTTGTAAAACATCTAATAAAATGTCCTCATCATCCCATCTCTTTCTCCAAGCCTTCTCTTGAGCTGCACTGAGAGAGTGCAGCTTTCACTTCTGAGTCACCCTTTGCGCAGACCCTGCATCACATGTAAGAGAGCCTTTTGCTCTCAAAAAGAAGGAAACCACAGACCCGGCATCACATGTAAGATAGCCTTTTGCTCTCAAAAAGAAGGAAACCACATGCCTCCTTTCCCTGCAGGTTACCACAATCTGCTCTGAAGCGATCACACCGAGCGAGGGCGGAGGAAATCCCTGGGCCGGCCGCACGCTGACCGCTGCGAGGCGCAGGCAGACAGGCGCTTTGGGGGCCCCTCCGGATTTCGGGATTTCTGGGCAGTAACCTACAGAGAATCCACTAGGTGCTGCTGTAAGGCAAGGAAAGGGCCTGACGGACGAGTACGGGAGATGTGCAGGGAGGCGAACGGGTAAGCCAGGAGCGCTGCTCACCCAGCTTCAAGCCTTGCTGCCAATAACCCGCGGAGAGGACCGGGCTTTGCCTGGCACAACCACAGCAGCTGGAGATGATCCATCCGGCATCTCTGCTCAGGTGTTTAGTAAAATATGCTCACACACCACTGTCTTGCGTAACTGATGAAAGCATCCAAAATGCAGAAGGAAACTCACTGCATATCCATGTCCTCTGCCTGTAAGGTCTGTAGCTTCTCTTGCCTGTCTGCTTAGTAACTCCAGCTGCTGCCTGGAAATCAATCACCCACCAACACTGAATTCTGTTACCAGAAGAGAAACTCTCTAGTCTATTACAAAAATTTGCAAAATTTGGAACATACTGGCAACATACAGAGATTGCAACTGAAGCCTCAAAACAATTTTGTAAATATGACTGTTGTGCCTCTTCCCACCCTCCTGCTGGCTGGTCACTTGGTCACCCGATATCTGGGCTTCTTACAACCTGAAAATTAAACACCTCACTTGAAAAATCCCTATCCATTCATTTCGCATACACGTGCCAGAACATCAGCACGTGCTGAATACTTTTCATTGGATTAGCAGACCTCTAAGTAAAATGTCCTTCATCCTCTCTTAAGTGCTGAGCAAAACTGTGCCAGTGCTGCCCTTCCCTCTGTTAACAACTTTTAAATTGTAGCAGTGTGTAAGACCTATGCTTATAAGGCCACCCAAGGCTGCATTATCATACATATGCACAGCAGTCAATACGCATGTTGACAGCTAATCCTGTGTCTGCCAGATACCCAGTTTAAGAACCATATATGTATACATGTATCTTAAGTGTATACACACACTTTCATGATAATTTAGACTACATGTTATAATTTAGAGCATTCTTTAAAATATGACAGTATCTGTCCTTTTTCTAAAAACAGAAATGCCAAGGCTATGTACAATGTGTATTTATATACTCATATAGAAACAATACATACATTCTGCATAATAAAGCAACTTCTGAACCTCTTTCACTAACCATACTTCTGTAGTCACCTTAGTACACCATATTTTCTCCCATGTGAATACCAACTCTAATACAACACAACTGACTCTTCCTCTCCATTCAAGAACAAAATAGCTTCCAGCTCTACAATGAATTCTTGAGCTGCTTTCTGAGTCTGTCATACCACCCCCTAGCATGTTCTGCTAACCTCCCAGATGCTGGTTTAAGTGTGAGATCATAAGCATGGAAGTCCAACCACAGATTCTCTTAAAAGCATGCAAAGATGACCATCTTACATCTCCTCTGTCTACATGCTTGAGGGAAGACCGAAGAGCAGTTCAGTTATCCAAGTTTAAACTGATTTAGGATCATTACTGCATTTAAGAAACACATGCCTAAGAAATATTTGCTCTGTATCTATTCACCACTGAAACATAAGAAAATAAAGGACAAATGGAAGACACACCAGGGCTGCCACACAAAAGAAACTGAGAAAGTCTCTCAGCACCTGGACACACAGCTGGAGACTCAACTCCTGCAAACACACAGTGAAGAGGACAGAGCTTTGTTCATTTGGGTCTGTTTAAGAATACCAACCACCTCAATTTATCTGGAGGAGGTATTTTACAAAGGGGACCCTCAAAAGGATCAGAGATGTGCAGTTTCCTGTCAAATAGGGCAGGACAATTAAAACAGGGTAACTCATTAGTAAGTATGGGCTAAATTATGGCCCATCATGATTCTAACAATCCCCCAACTAGTTTTGTCTGGGCTGTATTTATGACAATTATTTTGTTCTACATTTTTGGGGAAAGTAGATTACACAGCTTGCTTCTTTGATGGAGGGCGAGGTTTCAAAAGAAGACTACAGGCCCAAGACAATTATTTTGTTCTACATTTTTGGGGAAAATAGATTACACAGCTTGCTTCTTTGATGTGGAGGGCCAGGTTTCAAAAGAAGACTACAGGCCCAGAAGAGTAGAGTGTAGTTTATACATAAAGTGAATATTTCACCACAAGTTGTATTGCACACTTCTATCAGGAAAACCAGGATTTATTGAGACACACAGTAAGAGTGTCTTTTTGCTCAAAATAAGAACGTTCTGATTAAAAGAACTTTTATGCACTAGAACAATCACATAACATGCCTTTTGATTTGACTCTAAATCTACATGTGGATTTTATTCCTACACTGCCATCTGAAATCATACTACTGAGGCTCTTGCAGAATCAAGACACCTCAGCTCTCAAGGTCATAGCAAAGACTTTTTTTAAAGGAATGCAGTATCTGTGAATACAATATACCTTCCCACACACTTAAACATAACAGCATAGTAAAAGCAGCTTGTATGCTCCAAGCTAAGAGATTACAAGTTTGAGAAGGACAGTATAATTTTAGCACAAAATAATGTATTTCTTATCACTTCTCTGTCAACTTGGCTTGAATGTTTCTTATTTTTCATGCTGCAGCACAGAAGACCACTACCCACACAGCATAAAACTTCCATGGCTAAAACTGGTGTGAAAAGCATTGAGGAGTCCTGGCAGTACAGAAGCAATACGTCTCAAATGCACCACACATAGAGATTAAGTTAATCATTACTTTTCCTCTCAATAAAACCAACAACAACAACAAAAGAGAGCTCTTTCCTGGAGCTAGAGATTTATGGCAGTACTACTTACTATAGCCAACAAAGAAGCCACAAAAATTGAAAAATTTTCAAAGTTGGCCTAAAAACCACATGATATTAATAATGAGTCTAAAGAAAGACTAAAGATCTCTGCACTACTGGAGATATACACAAACACCTACTAGACTCCTTTGTAAAAACACATTTGTAATGGCAACTAACAACAAACTTCTTTTTAGACGTAAGGATTTAGTGAATAGCAGCAGACTGCAATACTTCAATTACCTGTTAGCACTTGCAGGGTTTCAGTATATACAATGATGCTGACTTTGTAGGAAATTACTTGTTAGTGCCAAGGCCACAGTTGTGTCAGGCATTGCACAAGCATATAGAATCCTTGCCCAGAAAAGCTTGCAAACCACCTGTTTGCTAACACAGTCACTGTATTTCAACTCTTTTTTCCTCTGACAATGTCTCTTCATAGGGCAGGCTTGACTGGCATGCTCAAGTATCAGCAGAGTTAATACTGAACTATGCTCAACCTACATTCACAGCTGGGATACAAGACACACATTTCATTCCCAGCTGAGGTTGTTATGAGTAGAAAAGTTGTCCATTTTTTTAAGTTGCAAATTTAACAAGTTAAACCAATTGCTGTTGTTAATAACTTCATGTTGCTACTATTAACCTGTTATTAATAGTTTTTCTTCAGTTACCTGTTAATAGTTAAAAGTCAGCTCAAGTGTCCCACTGCTGTTTCCCGGGAGATGACACCTGAGGCTGCAGGTAGCGGGGGGGATGGGGGGTGGGACGTCAGAGCTAGTATGCAATTGAGGAAGCCCCCTCACCAAATCTTGCAAAAAACCCCCTAAAAACAACGAGCCATCATGGAATTAAGAGATCTAAGTGATGCCCAATGTCTAAAGGTGAGGAACTTGAGCCCGTGTCAGCTGGTATCCTCTTTGCCTCTCACCCTAACTTAAGGAGAGGTCAACTAGAAAGGAGACATGAATGTTAGACTGAAAAGACGGAATCTCCTAATCTCTTGTGAGGATGGAAGCCCCAGCTCTGCCTGCACACCAGTGGACACAACTGCATCATCCTCCTCCTCTGTGCCACTCCTGGGAGCAGCAGCGGCGCAGGCGCAACCCGTCGGTTTCTCCCCACTTGAGCTGATTTTTTTAATAAAGGCATAAAAAAGGAGAAAGATCTCCTGCCCATTTTATTTCAAGGTTACCTGAGATGTGTCCTAACTTTCATTCCTCACTGGTCAAATATTCCTCTTACAAGTTCTTTAAACTGAGACCTCACAGTAAGGGAGAGAAGAGAGTTCCTTACCTCTTGTGCAGTAAGTGCATGTTCCCCTGCTAGAAGCAGCATACTCAGGCCTCCCATTTGGGTAGGATCTGTTAAAAGAGTAAAATGAAGTCTTCAGTTGATTCATTTGCTTGTTTAAAAAAACTACCACTTGCACCACTAAAGACCCAGAAGACTATTTGTCACAGACACTCTCAGCAAGCTGCCATCAAAGGCAGTTCAAGAGAATCACAAAAAACCATTTCTGTACCCTCTGGGAAGGCTTTCAAAGCTGTTTGACGGATTTAATTGGATTTGTGTGCTTAACACCCCATTGCATGGATTTACAATTCCACTGCCAAAGGTTTTATGTACTATAGAGATGAATATCTTTAAAACAGCAGCTGTAATGATCTCACATATAAGTATACACAAAGATGTTCTAATAATGCACAGGTTTACAAGTCGGCGGATGCTCCTACCAAGGGAGCGGTTCCTTCCTTGGCAACTGAAAAAGTAAAAGGATGGAACAAAACAACACGATCAGGCTCTGAAGCAAAATTTCTGTCTTCATTTGTCTATAATTTAGAACTGTATTTAGCGGTGAAAAGTGCCAGCCTGACAGCTCTGAAGCATGAAGCCAGAACAGCACAAGCACTGGCCAGGCAAGCTGCCTGCCTACTTGTTGCCCTGCCAATACGATACATAATTGGGGAATGTAAAATGGAGATATAAATGTTCTTTCTCCAAGTGTTTAATACTGACAGCTTTTCCCCTGTAGCCTTTCTGCACCTCAGGAGCTCAGAAAATGACAAGAAGTGAAAGCAATAAACTCTGACATTGCATTACTCATGGAGTGGCTTTTCCACTCAGAACAGTGGTTGCTCTTCATCTTTATGAAGACTAATTGTCTGATTTTGGGAGAATGCCTTGGGAGCAATGCAGGCGCCTGATTTAACAGTGTGATGTAGAGACTGGGTAACAGACAGTGGCCAAATGTCTCATACAACAGCCACAATGTGAGTGGAATTTTTTCATGTTTTCAGATGACATGGACCAAACTTGTACCTGTAAACCTCCAAAGAATTTAGGGCTACATATGGTAACAGTCCAATTCATGGGAATACTCATGAATGCTGTTTAACTCAATACCACAGATGCTGCCCAAAGTTTTCCTGCACACATCATCTCTCACTGAGATTCCCAAGAAAAGTTTTTCCAATAGGCTTTTTAGAGGGGCATTAAATAGAAACAGAGGGAAACAATGTAAATAAACCAGGCTTATACACTCTCTCATGGATAGAAGAGTGGCATATTATTAAATAGTATTAAATGGGCATCCTAAATAGCACCTAGCTTCAAATCCAATATTGAACTGGAATTAACTTTTTCATTCATCACAATAAACACATACAACACACGTGTTTTGGAGGTTTTAGTTTTTTTGAAGAAGTTTGCCTTTTTAAATTAAAAAGGGGGAAAAAAGTCACACTTCTGTGAAGAGACAAGACACTACCAGAAGTGTAGGTTCTAGTAACAGGAAGAGACACAGAAAATGTGAAGGGCCAGTAAGCATCTAAACACAATTCATGAAGTGATCCTGTCAGCAGCAGCACTTTTTGCCATCCATGCAAAAAGTTGGATGCAGTTGATCAGAAACCACTCAGTCCTTCAAACCAGAGGACATCAGAGCAATTAGGAAGTGAAAAGTGAACATATATCTTGAAAGATAATGCCTGACCAGACAGTGGATTTGGAGGAAGGAGAGACGGGAAGAGATCTCCAGGCCCTCCATAAACTTACTGAGCCCCATATTAAAGAGTAAAACCTTGGCTGGTAGTTTTCTAGTTTCTTTACTCCCTTTGGAAGACGATTGCAGGATTCAAGTCTTCTAAGCATTAAGAGCATTCTTCCAGGTTTTAGCTTAAATATACTCAAGGCCAGGTAGTACATGTTTTTCTGGTACTTGAATCTATAAGATTAGTAACTGCTTCCCTAAATGGCATCTCCCTTTTTGCATTTACAGGACTTTTTCCTGCTCTTCTTCCACTTGTTTTCTTGGTCTAAACAATTCAAGATCTCCCAGTGTCATCAAGCACATCCATCTTCCATCATTTCAGCAATTCCTATAGCTCTCCTCTGCAGTTATCCCAGGTGCAGTTGGTCTTTCTTGTATATAGATGACCAGCAGTGCAACCACATCAGATGAAGGGGGTCCTGAAAACACTCTGCCTGATAATTTGCAGTACAGCACTTTCTCATACCTGCATCACCCTAGTGACTCCCAGCTGCTCTTTTGTACTTTATTTTCATTACCTGTTGGTCCTTTTCCCCCTCCCCAGCTTTTGCCATCTCAAGAACAGCCAGTTCATGACTGTAAAATTCTTGCCTGTCTTCTAAATATCTCCTTGGTAGTTTTGGCTTTCTGCCTTTCAATTAAGTAGCTTATCGTAAGAGAACAAAGATAGAAGTACGGTTTACTGTTTTTCTCCCTAAGTAAGCAAATACTTAAACTGTTTACTTAAATATCAAAATTAGGAGGAAGGAAAAAAATGACAGATGAATTAGAAATGAAAGTTTAATGTGATGCTTAAACAACTTGAACACTTATGCTGCAGCTGTAACACAGGGCTGGTGCTTAGATGTCTGCTCATGATAAAAACAAAAATCCTTCTACTACAGTTTCCAATTAAAAAATAACTTCACCTAAGGGAAGACAAAATGTACATAACCAAACACTGCCATATGCTTATAGTGCCTTTTCAGCACAATAACGTTTCTCTTCTAGCACTAGGAGCTTACGCGTAAGAAGAAGAATTTTAAGGGGTATTTTACAGAATTTATTCTTAAATCAACGGTACTGGGAAAATAGCTCACACATTTGCCTTGCAGAATGGCAGGTGATTCGTGACTTTCTCAACAGCTTTTAATATTGATGAAACTTAAAACCATCTCTCTGTTTGGGAATGACATACTTTGTTAGTACTGGGCTGGTTACACATTCAGCACACCGGCTTGTTCATTATAGCCATTTCTCTGTCAGAGGAAACAACAAAATGAGGAAATACTAAGCAGGAAGAAGGCCAGCGTCAACCAACTTTTACCTGGGTGTACCTGGGTTCATAATTGAGCTTCTTTCTGAAAAACAGAAACTGTGTTTCTATAGGGGTATAGCCTACTCTAAAAGTGTCTTTCTTCCAGCCTTTGCCTCACTAAAAAGCATTTTGGCATGGATGGTTTTCTTCTGAAGCAAAAATATTCAAGTACTGCGAATCTCACACATTTGTATGGCAAAGCTTTTGCAAACAGCAGTGTTCTTTGCCCTCCACCCTACACAGGTGAGCCATATAATGAGAAAAATGTGCTCAATTACAGCTTCCAGGCTGGATGATCAAGGACACCACTACTGGGTCTGCAGGTCAGAAGCCCAATGCTGGCACCATACCTCAGCTTCTTGATATAATGGTAGGTCAGCATAACAAACTTAAATGTGGCATAGCTATTCTTCTAAAGCCAAAAAAGGACAGAAAAAGCTTGTGTGGGACTTAAAAAAACAAAGTAAGATCTTACTATCTACATATTAGATTTTCCAAAGTCAAATGTAATACAGAAAAAGCAATCAAGACATGATTAGCAATGACCAACAAACAAAACAGATTTCCTGGCATGATACTAGATTTGTATAAACCCTGTCTTGAGGAAGTTACCTGCCTTGAAGATACAAGTGAATCAGTGGCATTTCAAAGGTAAAAGTGCTTTTGAGGTGGTTCACCTACATTTCAGTTCATCAGCTAACATGCAGCCTGCATTTTAAAGAGATTGTACTGGGTGAAGAGTGAGAGTTGAATTGAACTATCATGTGAAGTCAAGCAGAGAGGAGCACAATAGACTTATCAAACATGAACTGGTATATAGTTGACAAAGCAGTAATCCATTTGGCATGGCACACTTGTCATGATGTGGATGCTGCTAACACCTCTGTCAGAAGCTGTCTTTATTTTATAAGGTATTCTTATATCCAAGATACTGCCAGCCTTCACTGGCATAAGGATTGGAGCAAGATCCTCATGAATTACTATGCTCATTAACTCAGCCTGCAGGAAAAAAACCAAACAAACTATCACAGGTAGCACTAAAGGCCTTTCTTCAGACATAAATGGCTCTATAGCTAGAACAATGGATTAGTTTCTAATTAATTCTTAATTCTCTGTCCCCTACTCTGACAGGTGTTGAGATTCAAGACCTCTGTGCTCAAAAACTCGACATTAGGATAGTTTAGGACCACTGGGGAATGGAGGACAGGTAGATTAAGGCTTGTTACTTGTTTTTTGTATGAAGTCAATAAATATTTAAGGAGCATAGAAATTACTCCTCTAAAAGTAAAACCAGAATGGTCTGAAGGGGCTTGTGATTTTTGGAACTGCTCTCCCATATACCAGAACTATGCAGCATGAAACATTTATTTTGATCACATTTCACAGTTCCTTAAGATCCAGAAGAAATTTCATTACAGGCATTTTCATACCACTATACTAAGATATACATGCCTCTATCCCTTTTCATTCTTTTAAACTTGTCCCATAAAACTCTCCAGCTCTCAGTCTCTCTAAGCAGAGAAGTCCTATCTGCTATACACCTGACATAAACCAGGTAGGATATGACAAAGGTTCTAATTTTATAACTACTGATGCATCTGAAACTTTAAACAAGCAAAAAAAACAAACAAACAAACAAACAAAAAGCCCACCAAAACACAAAAAAATCCCCAAGGGAAACAAAAGGAAAAAACAGTGGCAGGAAATTTTTTTTTTTTAGCCTTGACTGCTAGATTCTCAAGCTGCCAGTATTTAACATTAATGTCCCTGTATTCCAAGGTCAAGATTACAACAGTTATGCTATTTATGGATACCAGTGAGAGATTATCTGCTTTTCACCAGTTCAGAAACTCCACCTATACTTCTTCACATATTTCTTTTTTTTTTTTTTTTAAATGTTTAGAAGTTTAGAATTTGCTCCTCCAAGATATAATGGGCAAAACAGCATATTTAAGTGAAATTAAATTATGCTTCCCTTGATGAAAATACAAAAGTGTTAGCCCCACTGGTACATTAATCTACAAGATTATCATATGCAACTTGAGACACCCATAAATTATTTTTGCAAAGAGTAAATTACTTAAAAGAGTACAGCATTCTAAGACAGAGAAGCAGAATGCACACAATCAGCACTTTCCTTTTTAATCAGAGAACGGAAGTCTCTGACAGCAGATAAGCTGGAATCGAAATATCAATGAAATCTGGGTCCTACATGGGGTAAGAGTTAGGATGCCTCAAATCTTGAAAATAAATCATGCACTATGGAAAATTTTAGACAACTGTTACACAGAGGTTTAACTACAGTTTTGACAACTTAATCTGGGACACTACACTACCATGTGTACTAAACAAAACCAAATTTCCCAATTCAGTTTCCATACCACATCGCCAGAGCTACAGCTGAGTACCATGGATGGAAATCTCACCTGCCATCCCAAAGTTTAGCTGTGGCATTTCTTCACTTTTGGTTACTTTCCTTGGGCTTGGTAAGTCTTTTGCAGAGTCTGATGCAATGGCCCATAGCTTTTTCCTGTTCGTAACACTCGATGTCTGCGTTTTCACAGGTTTGTTGGTTGTGGGGCACCACTTATATCCTGGGTTTGCTTTCATAAATGCATCCTTGTACTAGAAAAGAAAACAGAAATTATCAGTCATGACATTATACTCTACAGAGCAACCAGAGCACACCGCATGTAAGAGGATTTAATACAGTAACTAATCCTTAAATATCTTGATTTTTTAACAGTTTAATCACACGCTTAAGAGTCTAACCACCAACACAATTTGCTAAGAAGAAGTATTAAGATAAGGAGAGTTGTATCTAAAAAAGTGGGTTTTCTCTTTCCTCTCCTGAGGGTCTATCACCCAGAGCAGGCTAAAGCTCTGATCCTGAAAACTGCTCCCCAGTGCTTGTATGCTTATACTCTGAGAAACAGATACTTGAATTCTTTGCAGGTTTACCTTCTAGTTTGAATTAAATAAAAACACACATTTAGCAATAAATGCAGCATGATGCCTTAGCTTGCACTAATTCTTCTCAAATAGTTCTGTATTTCAGAATATGAGTATATGCTTTCCCAAACCAGGCACCAAAAACAAATCACAACCAGTATAATGTCATATTCAGTATCTTGTGATTACACCATACCAGCGTTCCTTCCAAAATGTACCATGCTGTATGGCCGCATAAAACAAACTGTGACCATTTAAAACATTCTTTGGCCTTGAGCACCCAGCACACATCTCAGTTGTTTGCTGTGTTTTTGGTATGAGGCAGCAGAACAAAGGAAGCCAGGATCTATTTTATTCACAAAACAAAACAACATCTTCCAAGAATTTTACTGCCCACATTAAACCAAGATTTCTGAATGTTAACAGCAACAGAAAGACGACATTTCAGTATTTTACACGTGTTGCTATGCAAGGTTGAGAACTGCCAAATCAGAGAACATGCCACACATTCCAGCTGCAGATGTTTGCCTAACAACTGACAGGGGTGTACAGCACTTGCTGCTGTGGGAACCTACCCAGCCAGTACCAGTGCTCACCGCAGGGAGAGGGAACCCAACACCCCTTCACGCCTGGGTAGCTCCCAGGGGCAGCACAAGACCAAAAGAGCGGCTTTTTGCTTGGAAGCACATGACAGGGCAGATGCAGGAAGTTTGTTCTGTGATTACACATTCCTACAGCTGCCATCAGTCCCAGTCATGGCACAGAGAAGCACCTGTGTTTCATGCACATGCGTGCACAGAAACATAGAGAAGAAAAAAAAAATCCCTTGGGCATCAAATACAGGAATAGCACTGAAAGCCTTGTCCTCTGCTAGAGCCACTACAGTGTTTTCCCAGCTGAAGAACAGGCTGCCTTGTGGCAGGGTCACCATTGCACATATACTGCTTTCTTTCATTTCTATCTTCACCTTTGAGCTGGCACTTGCTACCTCCAGACCGTAGCAGAGATAAAAACGTTTCAGTTTACAAGAAACTCAGCACTGCGTGAACCCTGCTGTGGGAAGTCCTGTATTTATAGAAATGGCTATAAATAATAAAAATCTGCAGGAATCACTGACCCACATACATGCTGTATTTTCTGAACAGGGTGTATGTATTAAATCTGCAAAGTAAGGACTGCGACACTGCTTGCCTCACTCCTTTTCCCTTTCCCTCAGTTTGCTTTGGGAGCTCAGTACACCACAAAAATAGCCTGGCGGAGGGAAGGAATAGGAAGGGGAGGGTAAGGGAAGAGGAGGAAAGGAAATACACGACAAAGCAGCTTCGCCTTCCATTGTTAAAGCCACAGCCCACTCACAAATCATGTTTCCAGCCTGCAGAGTGAAAAGCACAGAGTCACTAGCAATGAGCTACATAAGCTCTTCATATCAGCAATGCTGCTTTGAGTAATTGAATTATTCTATTGAGTAATTTGACAAACCGACAGGCTGCCCATCAAACAAGAACTAGGACGCAAGCCATTTGTGAGATGAGGCTGCAATAAGCTTTTAATCAGTTTTCAACAAGAGTAATTCAAGTGAGCTGGTCTATTAACATCTTTTTTTTATTCTGAAAAGCCAAGAAGTGAACATTAACTGCTATTTCTGAAGGCAAAGCAGCAAACTGAGGGAGGACAACTCACTGGAACCATTCAGTTTCCACATATAAGATAAAAACCCAGAAAATTTAAAAAGTCAAACAATGGCCAAGAAGTACTTTATATAAATGCATACAGGGGCCTGATCCAAATCTTAAAAACTCTTTCAGTATTGACTTTTCTGACTTGTTTTCAGTTTCCACATATAAGATAAAAACCCAGAAAATTTAAAAAGTCAAACAATGGCCAAGAAGTACTTTATATAAATGCATACAGGGCCTGATCCAAATCTTAAAAATTCTTTCAGTATTGACTTTTGTGACTACTAGACCAAGGCCTAAAACAAATAGATTTTGCTTACCAGGTCATGAGAAGATAAATGAAATGAGCTACAAACTAACAAGAAAAGGTCAAAGACAATAGTGTAATCTACTGCTTTCCTGCCTTTCACCTACTGTGCAGTGAAGCAACTTAACACAGTCAGTCTAAGCAGATGTCTAAAATGGATTGAAAAAACCCCAAAACACAAGCAAACCAAACCTACCAAAGAAAACTACAAAAAAACCCAACCCAAACATAAGTACCTAACCTGGAATGAAAGACACTACCTTGCTTTCCACAACAAATGGCAGGGACTGCCCAGCAGGGTCATGTTCTGAAGTTTCAGGTAAGAAATAGAACAAGATGTGTTTGTGGGATTGGTTTGATGCCTTATTTCTGTTTTGTGAAAGCCTGGAGAATGTAATGTTATGCAGCAAGACCAGTAACCCTTCAGAACTGAGGTTAAAACTCCCCAAGTTGCTTTCATCACCAAATAAAAAAAGATTTGCTTCCTCTATTTGTGGTAGAAACAGGAGCTCCCAAGTGGATTTCAGCTACACCTCAGGCTAGCTGTTAGCACGTATTTAATTTTAAATGTACGCTATTAAATGTCACATGAATCCCAGAGACCTATCATTAAAAAAAAAATCCCCAGAAAATACAACACTCCATTCTTCACCCCTGAAGGATGCAGGGTGTGCATTACACATGTTATAGTCCATACATCAGCCAGTGGACTTGCCAAACTCCAGCCAGCAAGCCAGAACATTTGTCCCCTCCTACCCTGAGGAGCTGCCAAAGCAGCGGCACCACAAGGCCAGCAAGCTCCCAGTCTGGCTGACTGGACCTGAGACACCACTGGCCAAGGACCAGCAAGGAGAAGTGTGCAGCTCAGCCACTGAATGGCAGCAGGATCACACAATCACTGAGGTTGGGGAAGACTTTGAGATCAGCCTACAGATGATCTGAGTTCAGCCTACAGACCAACACACCTTGCCAACTACAACATGGCACTCAGAGCCATGTCCAGTCTTTCCTTGAACACCTTCAGGGCTGGTGACTCCACCACCTTCTGGGGCAGTCCACTCCAATGTCTAATCACATTTACCAGACTGCTCCCTACAGGAAGTAATCCTGACTGCCTGCATCTTGCTGGTGCGAAGACATATTTAAAAATGAAGTGTCTTCTATCAAGGGAATAGGGCTTGAACAGTAAAAATTTCACTAGATATTTTCTAAGGCAGCTGAACGCTCCCAGAAAGTCCTGTAAGAGTTAACAGAAGAACACTACCCTTATTACTGAAGTGAATAAAAATGCTGGTGCATATTTATGAGTGGTCAGATTAATTTCTCTCAGTGAAGAAAAATGCTAAAACATACAGCAACACTTCTGGTTCCTTTTTGAGTATGTATCAGCTACTGGGCTTCAGTGAAACTTTCAAATTTAAGGTGATCTAGGAAGTCTGCAGGATAGAAATAGAAAGCCTACTCGTAAAGTAACACCAGCAAAAGCAGACAACAAGCTCTGCAGAGGCAGCACCAGGTCTCCAGGGCAGTTGTTGCTACAAGAGACCAGAAACCACAAGGTGGAAAATAGAAGGAGTGTGAGGCCAGCTTTTCACACAATGAAGGTACCCCAAGGTGCAGACAGGTACATAACAGGATTTTCCACAGTGCCTGAATGAACTAGAGACCTGATGAGCCTCCCAGGGAGTCAGGGACAGATGTCCATCTACTAGGAAACTTCTCATAATTCTAGCAAGCAAAAAGTTTGGGTGCCTCACTATCTCCCAAAATGATACATCTTGCATACAGCTAGACATATATAAATAAATACACAAACAATTGCCTTCACGTGCATACTGCTGAGGTAGTATCACTGCTAGTAATAAGCAGGCAAAAAACAGAAAGCTTCTTATTTGGCACATGATCTAACCTGAATGATTTTGGGAGCTATAGCAATGAGATGTATAAAAAAAGCATTCTAGAGACTGTAGAAGAGCAGGGACTGTAGCCACTGCAGGAGGGACCACTTCAGTAAGGCCCACATGTATCTCTGCAGGAGTAGTTTGGATGCTCAGGGTGTACAAGACACATTGTAGGGATAGCAGATAGGATAGAGGGTTCCCTGGGAGATGTGTGTTCTTCCAGAACAGTGGCTACAGGCTGTGCAGCGGAAGTCAAAGGACACTGAAAAGCTACATGTAAGCAACAGAAGATTATTCACTGTATCTTATATCTCAGTGAGCTTATACAGGTACTCAAACAGAAGACCATTGGTGCAATTTTTATCTTCTTTCAAAGATATTCATCTTGATTTTTAAATAAATTCTCTTTAGGAAAAAGCAAAGCACCAACAGGTGGCTCTCACTACAGTTGACATTAACCTCTTTTTGACAGTCTCAGCAGTAAGCCTACCTACAGGTGAACCTGTTCAACCTGCTCTATGTGAACCTGCTTGAGCAGTGGGTTGGACAAGACAATCTCCAGAGGCCCCCCTTTCCAACACCACCAACCACTCTGTGGTTCTGTGAAAATCAAGTGTTACAGTAAAAGGACCAATCCATGCACACAGAATAGGCTTGTGGGTGAAGAAGACCCAAATGGATTCAACAGCACATTATAGCTGCAACTACACTGTTTAAAGAATAAAAATTACATGCTATCTCTCTTCTAGTTCTCAGTCTTAGTACTACTTATAATGATGTAAACTACTTAGGTTTATTGTTCTGCTTTGACACTGAATATTCAATTTGTTCTTCATGCCAAAAAAAAATCACTACAAGAACAATGATTTCTATAACAATATGATTAATAGTTTCAGATCTGTCACTTCACACAGAAGTTCTGCAATTATTTTCCTTCTTAATGAGCAAGTTTCCTTCAGCAAGACAAAAGGCTAAGAAAAACATTTGCATTGGGTTTGTTTCTTCCAAAAATTATTTCTTTATTCTCATTTTTCCTTTCTCTGCATCTGTACTGAATCTTCTAACTGCCCTTTCTCCAGATGTTTAGAGAAATATCACTAATTCGTAAGTGGGAATGCAGAATGAAACTGGAATGGTTGGACAAAGCTGAGACTCAAATGTTTCTGTACTGTGCCACAGATGAGAAACTACAGAGGTCCTACATATCCTGCTTTAAAAAGGACCTGCTATTCTAAACACTTTGTTTTTCTTGTGGACCCTTCCATGTTCACATGAGTTACTGAACAATTAGACCTTATAGCCTTACAGCAATAGCAGTAGACATCTTCAGATCCCAGGGCAGGCATGGGTAGTATCATTCATTTCAGTTATCTACACTTCCCACAGTGTGCCAGCATACTCAATAAACAAGAGAGGTATTTTTCCCTTCTCACTGCTGCTCCTTTATTTTTATTAAGATTGAATTCAAAGGTTACCCACAATCTGTATCATACAGGTAGTCACAGGGATCTGTTTTGGGGTCAGGTTATCAGCCTAAGTAATTGGCTGTATTTTTCTCACTCTACTATCAATAACCACAGCCTTCTTGGCAACAGCTTATCAAGAAAGCTATTTCTTAAAAAGGCTCATTTGAATTTTAAGTTGACATAAAGATACTTTGTGAAACACAGGGATAAATCTCCTTTCCTTGCCCTTGTTAACAGACTTTCTCTGTTTCTTGTTAATGGACTCTGATTAGGCACTGCTCTCTGACTTGGTATTGGGCTCACCAAATCTTGCTTCATCAGAAACTGGTTAATGAGGAACGTACTTCAAGGAACACTAGTAATTTTTTAATTCATTAGCACCAAAGGTAAAAAGGGACTACATTTCTTGACTGTGCCATTGGTTTGGTCCACCAGTAGCTGGCATCACTGACAGAGAATGCACAGCTAAGTATCACTAGTCAGCTGACATGGAACAGTATGTTAGTGTTTACAATGGCCACTATCCTTGTGTTAATGCTTGTACTGCAGAAATTATCAGGCCATACAATCAAAACGTGCATATAATTACAGCAATGACTACCAAAACCAGGTTAGTTTGTATACACAGACCAACTGCTTTCCATTCTGGTCCAAAGGATCAAGTGAATTAAAGTAAGAACAGCAGCTGCTCTGGGCACCATAATCCCATGGTGAAGCTGAGGAACAGAGGGAAGAGAAAGATCCCACAGAAAACATTTAATACACAGAGAAAAAGAAAAAGTTCATAGAGAGAGTTCAGAGAAAAAGAAAAGTTCATACATAATGAACTCCCTTTACATCCACCATTCAGAAAGAACATACCTCCTTGGCCATGTCAGTGTATTTCTGTTTTTCTTTTGGATCTAGAACAGACCACCAATCTGCCAAGATCTTGGTTGCGCCACGATTATCGAGGCGAGGGTGTTCTTTCCGCACAAGAGAGCGGTGGCGTTTGCAGAACAAGAGAAACGCATTCATTGGTCGGCGAGCTCGTTGCTCTGAGGACTCGTCATCTTCAGTCTCATCAGCATCCTGCTCTAAACCATCAGGGCCAAGGAGCGGCACCTGGCAGAACCAAAAGGGAAGGGGCGTAAGCGCAGTTATCCGCATTTCGCACAAAGACTGAGACCGTGCGCGCTGCATGGGAGTGAGGGAGAGGCACATGAATGCACACAGCCGTCTCCAAAGGCCATCCGTTCTATCCAGACAGTGCAGAGTTCTACATCAAACCTCCTCACCTGATGGTCCCAGGTTCATTCATGCTCTCTGCAAGACTTAACGCTGACTTTCAAGTGGAAAAATTTCCAAGCTGAGGACCATTCTCTACTAACAGTCCTAAAGGGGCTAGAGGGACAAGATCCTTCCTACTCTCCTTCTGACAACCTAGAAATCATCTTAGTGGGATGAGGCAAGCAGAGCTACCTTGGACCTTGATTATTCATGTTTGCAACTACAGAGCACACAAGGAGGAACAGGTAACAGTTTGTCCGCTGTTTCTCCATCTCCTGCTGGTCACTGCTCAGCCTGTGAGCAGCACAGCAGTGCAGCCACCACAAAGCTGCCCAGCAGACGCAGAGGGCAAATCTCAACAGAGTACACTGCCAAAATGTGCTTTCTCTACTTACAGGCCAGCGTATCATTCCTACAAGGGATGAACCACAGAACCCACTGCATGAGACAGAAAACCACCTCCTACCTAACTGCAATGCTGCTATTTTATACAGTGTTGTGAAAGGACCTGTAAGATCAACAGAAAGCACCATCAGAGAATCAAGCTCTTGCTTATCCTTATCAAGGTCACCCTCTCAGTGTATGTCTCAAGGCAGTCTCCTCAACATTAACCTTTCATTCCTGCCTTAGGAACGCACCAAGGAGATACAGGTATGAATGCCATCTACATGATGGAATCATCATATCCGCATAAACAGTTCCCACTTCTTGTTACAGAGAATGAGCCTAACTGGAAAAGTGTGAGGTGCCACATGGCACTAAAAAAGGGTAAGGTCTGTGTCACTGAACAATACCAAAATACCAAGTGCCAAACCAGAGACAGCGTGCACTCAGTTCACTGGAGGATAAGTTGAATTTCACGTGCAAAGATAGTAAAAACTGCAGACAGCTTTTTCCTTCTTTTTCCCTTTTAATCTTTGTAGTTTTAATCTTTAACAAAGAAGAATGAAAACTTTTATTTTTGGTATGTTCTTCAGAGCCACTAGAAGCAGATACCAAGCACAAGCCTACGTCATGTCTAAAATAAGCAATTAAAAAAAAATCAAAAACCCACTTTGAGCAATCAAGATTAGGATGTAAAACACATTATTAAAACAAAGCAGATAAAACTATTCCAGTCTACAAAAATTTGTCCACTATTTTCACGGCATGATTAACAACTCACTTTCTTGTGTCACTACCTGCCTTTACAGCCTTACGGGCACCACATCGCATCACTTTTTATTGACTGTGTTTCTTCATAGAAGAGAACAAGACAACACAAAATAAAAAACACAGCTAGGGAGAATCTGATCCACCATTAACCATCTTGGGTCAAAGCATCCAATTAAATCTACCTTATCAATATCTTCCTCTTCTTCTTCCTCTTCTTCCTCTTCAGAGAAGTCAAGGAGTTTCTTGGCAAGCAGGGGATGCCACTGAAGACACTTCCTTTTTGGTCGCTTCCCAGTTCCTTCACCTTCTGTTGAGTGATCCTTATTCCTACTACTGCCTTTCATTACTGTGACCTGTCATGCAAAAATATTGATAAATTCACAACAAACCCTTAGGCATAAATGACCATCAAGCCAGTGGCAAATATATGAGGCGCCAATTCAAGACTCTCAGAATTTTCTGGCAAGATATTAGATAGAGATTTATTCCAATTATCAACATCAGCACGGATATACTTTATGCAATCTTAACACTTCCACGTAATGCCTAGAGTAACTACCAATACACAATTTAAGAGAATGAAGTAAGGATGCCAGCTAATCCAGCTCTCAAATGCGGCCCGAGGATGCAGTCTGAAGGATGGTAGAGAAATCCCTCACTAGCCAAGTGAGTGAGAGACTCTACAGCTCTCTCATACATATATCCTGAAGGATGGTAGAGAAATCCCTCACTAGCTAAGTGAGTGAGACTTTACAGCTCTCTCATACACATTGTAGCTTTTCATATTTTGCCACTGCAAATGTCAACGTCAGGACATCCCTCTTTCTCACAGTGGAACATATCACCAACCACTCATGTTAATAATGCACTTATATACACCAGTGTTGATACAGAGCCCCATGATACTACGAGCTAGGATTTGTCCAGTGCCATTAAAAGGTATGACAGGGAAATTTGAGTCCCTAAGAGAAGTGAATTTTAATACACAGATTCGAGGCAAACAATCAGAGATAGTTATGCTGACATTTCCAAAGTACTGCACAGGAAAGAAAAACCACGTGCTGAGCCAAGTGCACACAGAAGACAAATCATATTTAGTTGTGTGTGTGTCCATATCTAAAAAATACCTCAGAATTACCTCTTAGTAAAAATACATGCTTAACACATCCAAAGTTCAGTTTAAAGGTTCACTTAAGAGATGTGCTACACAACTAAGGGACTAAATTAATATATATATAAACAAATAAAACCAGCACATCACATCAAAGTACTGAAGTGCACAGCAAGTGCTGCTAGCACACAGTCTGGTCCCTTGTAGCCTTCCGTTAGCACAGTGTAGTATCAGTGGCAATCCTGACAGGAACATGGCTAGCTTTCCAAGAAAACAACACAAACATCAAAACAAACTGAACTTAAGAGTGGTTAGCCAGCTACATCTCTATAAAGCAAATAAATTTGATGTAGTCTCACGGAGTTTCTCACCAGCAGGGTAAAGCAGCTGCACTAAGCCCTAGTTCCACAGGCAAAGCCAGAAGAAGCTGTGTTGCTGACTCTCAGGAAAAGGGCACAGAAAGAATCAAACCTTGTAACTGCCAAGGCCACAGTGCATTTTAGGATGCTGCTCTCTGTAAGATGCCTAATGTTTCAGCCTGCAGGGGCACACAAGGAAGCTGCCACACTTGCACTTAGACTAGCTGCCCGAGCCACTGTGCCACCTCTGGGGCAAATGCCCCACAAAAACCATCTTGCACAGCTCCAGCCACACTCCTACATTTAGTAAGCATTACTTCTGGGTTTGGATGATCTCTTCTTGTTGGTTAACTCACTGGCATTTTGGCAATGCGCCCTTGCTAGCACCAGAAGTGTTCATAAGCAGCTGCTTCCCCTGCACACTTCCAGAGTGCAGAAAACAGAAGGACCTTCAGACACTGCTTACTGGAGGAACAACTGAAGCCTGAAGGAAGGAGGTTCACAAATTTTAACCTACATTTTAAAATAGCATTTTCCTGGACATATATTGAAGTTTGTCAGATCTTCCCTACCTGTCAGCAGTAAGTAAGTAACTTTGTCCCAGTAAGTGACATACTTTGCTATCCACATTTCACAAATTTTAACCTACATTTTAAAATACCATTTTCTTGGACATATATTGAAGCTTGTCAGATCTTCCCTACCTGTCAGCAATACCTGTCCCCCTACTCATTACAAAAACCCCTGTAATTTCATAGTTACTTTGTCCCAATAAGTGACATACTTTGCTATCCACAGCTGCCTGGAAAAACATTTAATCTTTGATTTCATATCATGCACTTCTCTGTTCATTTTCTGTAACCAGCTCCTGTAGGTTACAGGAAACTTTATCCAGCACATAACCATGCACCATTTCACCAAAATTTTCATCCATGACTTGCAAATCAGATCCAAATATATGAACCACTTGGTCTTTTAAAAAAACCCATTAAATTGTGGAACATTAAGCCACAATCAAGTATCGTGAAATGTATGTTTGAAATAGTTTTTATCCCACGGTGACCTCTGCCATGTGCCACACTGCACTGTGCTCTCCATCTGTCTCTCTTCTTGAAGTGCTGAACATAACCATGCACCATTTCACCAAAATTTTCATCCATGACTTGCAAATCAGATCCAAATATATGAACCACTTGGTCTTTTAAAAAAACCCATTAAATTGTGGAACATTAAGCCACAATCAAGTATCGTGAAATGTATGTTTGAAATAGTTTTTATCCCACGGTGACCTCTGCCATGTGCCACACTGCACTGTGCTCTCCATCTGTCTCTCTTCCTGAAGTGCTGAACCACCATTTGTTTGGGTTTTTTTTGGAGTACTTTCACATAACAAATCACACACAACCCAACAGTGAGTTAATGTTCAAGCAGGAACTTCAGCTCCCGTGGGCAGCAGAGATTCGTTCAGAGATTGCTAAGTGATACAGATCTGCCTATTACTGCAGTCAATAAAGCATGTGGCCTATTTCTGAGCAGGATAAATACACTACAGTACAAGAGGGAGAGCTACTCCAGCCCTCACCACTCATTCATGTACATGAGCTAATCATATGGCTTCTGTCCGCAATCAGTCCTAAGCATGATGTAAGTACTACTAGTAGCCTTCTACCTTGTTAGTGTGAAACCAAATTAATGTTTGAGAAGTGCTCCACAATCCTTCTTTACAAAGCTCAGCTGAAGTCTCAGGGCTATTTCAACAACAGTACCGCCTTTAGATCTGGCACCTCTCTGCCCGCTGCCCTTAAAAGGATGAGCAAGGGAAGACTTCACAGGACTTATGACTTTTACATGTGTTCTCCATCACCCCTGAGATCCTGCCTATGCTGTGCTGAGTTTGGCAAGGCAGCACAGAGCCAGGCACTGGTCACCCTGCAAACTGCTAAGGGGCTCCAGTACCTTGCACCTCTTCACCACAGCTGAGCTCACAAATGATTTTTCTTTTCCTTGCATGAAGACTAGGTATTAAACACTAATCACTAAGATTAATTAATGAAAGCTGATTAGTGCTGAAATAAAAATGTACACTCAGCTTCAGGAATCCAAGGGATGTTCATGAGGTTGTTTTAATAAATTGTGAATCATTTTACAACACAGAGTCAAGTCAAATCCTGGCTGTCAAACAAGCACTGTTTACCACAGAAAAACACAGCCACTCTTTCTGCTTTGGAAAGAATTTCTCCAATGGTCAACAACAAAAGCCCTCCTGATTTTGATCCCACTGACAGAAGGACTGAGGCAACAGACAGACTAAAAACTTTATGTTTACAACATGGCCTGAAGTCCCTCACTTCTTAAGTATGTCATACAGTATATACTCTACCCTCTATGCCTGCTCTTCTTTCCTCTAAAACAGGAGCTAATTTGTAACAAACACATAAAATAATTTTCTTCCTCTTAAGGGTAGGTCATATCCTATTTTACACACTTTTGTATTTCCAAATCCTCTTTCCCCATATTTATTTATTCAGGTCCCTGTAAGTTCTGACCTACATTTCAGGGAGAGAGAGATTTCAGAGACTTCTCAGAGACATTTCTTTGGTGCACTTTTTGCTGATGCCCCTCTGTCAAATATAGGACTGGCATAATGAAAAATGTTCTAATTCTTTATTACATCACATGTGACTTTTCCTGTTAAAAATGGATGCCAGCATGGTGTAGTAAACTTGTTTTCCGCTGGATTGCTTCATCTTTTACTTTACTGTGCCCACACTTCATGGGCATTTGTCTCCTAATTGTCAATATATTAACATACATAATTACGAGAGAAACCCATAAAAGATCCAGGAAAATGCAAATTACAGCTAAAATGGACATTTTCCTTTTGGCAAGATGTAGCAGAATGCATGTATGATTAAACAACAGTGGAAGTTTTACTAGTATTATTGACTTCTTGAATGGCAAAACATCAATGGAATCCAGTCACTGGACTCTTAAGATTCTATTTATTTATCTGATTTTTTTTTCCTCCTTGACACATCGTCAATAGCATGTCAGCCGCTTGTTTTACATCACAGACTGGAAGCTGGCAGACAGAAGCAAGCAATAATGCCACCTGTTTCTCTTTCAAGGATCCTCAAGTGCTGGCAAGCATCTCTACCAGCATGCTTTTAAAAGAAAGAGCCACACTTGGACCCTACAAGAACCAAAGCACACCTTTGAGCTTGGCAACTGAGAAGGGCCATAGGAAGTCACAGAATAAGCCAAATATTTGAGAGATTTGGGCTTAAAAGTAGAGAAGATACACAACATCTGAAGTGCAAAGTTTGTAATAAGTGGAATTTATGAACAAGAACACAAAAAAAGGAGTAATTTCTTCTACAGATATCAGTAAAAATGTAAGGTATCTTTTAAGGCAGATGTAATGGCTTTTAGAAGTTTGCAAGAGTAAAAATTATTAAAACCAGGCAACATGATTTTACAAGTTACCTCTCGGCTTAAGGATGACAAAAATGAAGTGACAGCCACTAGGGAGAAAGTAGGAATATTTCAACAAGACAAGACAAAGGTACGGACAGCTTTCCTTAAAATAAGCCACATATGCTTATTGGAAAGAACATAATATATATATTATAACGTCACCAGAGGATACCTGTCACGGCTGACATTCATGATCCATTGACAGCAAGATACCTTCAGGGTGACATTCTACACCTATTTTTAGTGCATATACAGATCAAACATGACAAAAATATTACATCAGTACAAAAAATTTAAGAATTTTCTCGTGTATGTGTGTGCTGGCTGTCCTTCTGGTCCTAGGAACACTAATCAAAGCATCACACTTTCTTGATGTCTTATAAATATGTATAGCTAACAGAGCTTC